CCCCCCCCCCCCCCCCCGCGCTCAGGGATGGTCTGGTCAATACTGACAATTTTTTCGATAACTCAGCCATTTCTTGACGGATCCTTCTCATCTTCGAACTCAACTGATATATTAATGAGATCATTATGTTTACAAAATTTCATGACAATTGGATGAGGCTTTCAAAGGTTATCGTGTTAACGGGCGGACACACTGACCGAATCTAGTGTACTCACTTTTTTTGAGTACACAAAAATGTATGACTAATTTTGCTACTATTGTTGTTCATAGCACTTAATTTGACAGGACACGATTTATTTATTGATATACTCACTGTTAACACATACCATGGAGCAGATGAATCGTTATTTAGCTTTATATGATAGAGCAATAGTTTGCCATCCATGTATTGTATGCAGTCTGTTCAATGCAATTCAGCGATTTCAAAGATCCATTTTAGTGTTTCAATAGTGTGCATGATTTTATTTCACTAGACAGATATGTGGTTTTATTTAGTATATTTAATGAAACGGAAATAACCGTCTGTTATTTCTCGACTACATTAGAAAGAAAGAACAAAGCTGATATTACAAACAAAAAGCATAATAGAATCAATGCAAAACAAATTCGACATTTACTGTTTTATCTTAAATGATTCTATATAAAAAATGTGCGAGCCAATATGAAAAATAATATTACAACTGGACTAAATTGTATTCGGCCAATACCTAAAAATAGAAATGCTGCATAACATTATAAAAGAAAAGTAATAATTTACCATTCACACAACGTCGAATTACTCGACCATATTTATCAAGTATTTCTTGTATACGTTGATTAGGATTACAATCGCAACGCTGTCCTTTACATATCATACTGCCACCACATTGCTCATCAGATTGGCATGGCGAACCAACCGCTCGAACTAGAATAATAATAATTGAATCAATAGAAACCAAAAACAAGTATACAATTCATATTTACCACACGCATTATCCAATTGATAGAATGATGGTCGACACCAGCATTCATTTTCATCTCGATTACAAATTGCATTTTCATCAATTTGCGGGCAAACACTTTCTTGATATACACATTTTAGATTTTCCAATTCATTTTGTACTAGAGGACAAAAAATATTCGCTTATAAAAAAAGAAGACGAAAGCCGATGAAATGATTCTACCGCATTGAGATTGTTCAGCTTTATAGCCAGGTTTACATCGAGCACGTTCACATGCTAGATTGCATTCAAGAGAACCATTATCAGCAGCAAATGCATATTGCCAAAGAGCTGATTGATTGCATGGCTGATTTAGTTGAGGTTTGAATGGACTTTGCACTGAATAAAATGATACAACAAGAGTCAATTGTTGGATAAATTAAAGCGTTTTTTAATATTTTGTAAAGACCGAACGAGAGCAACGTCTCTTCAAGGATATGTTTATTTTATTATATTTTAGCCCTAGAGTAAATAGTTTAGTTCGTTTTTGCCTTCTCACAATTTTGAGTCTTCTCTTCGGAAAATGAAGATTTCGATAAAATACTAAAATTAATATAGAGCATTACTTACCACATCTGGAACCATCTCGATAGTATCCAGTTTTACATTCGCAAGCATAACCACGGCATTCGAAATTTAAAGCTGCATTACAATTGTCTATACAACGGCTTGCAGCTAGATGGAGAATAAGATTTTTGATTAGGAAAGAAAATGTTGAAAAAAAACTTACAGCATTTTTTCGAGTTAGGATCTAACAATGATCCATCTTTGCATTGACATACTTTATATTCAGAACCACTATTTAAATAGTCGCATGCAACATTTTCTGTGCCACCGCAATCTGTCGCTGCTGTACATGCATATAGATGATGTTCATGTTCACCAGGAAATACGTATTTTGAAAATGGTTCTAAAACGAAGTTTTTATATACAACAAGTATTTTAAAGAAGCATAACTGAAATAATCTGGAAAATATTTGTACTGAAGAGAAATTCTCATCCTGAAAACACATTTTTGAAACATACCACATTGGCCAGCTGCATTTACAAAGCTTTGTTGACGATCGCAAAAACATGTTTCATCTTGACAAAATGCATTTGCTCCAAATTTAGCAACGCAATCTGTATTTGTAACATTGACACAGGCCGCTCGTGTTTGACTAGCATTTGCAGCACCACCGAGACCAACACTAGCTGTTCCTAAACACATGTGCAAAATTTTTATACAATCATTTAAATAGTTGATATTTATTTACTGCATTCTCGTCTATCCGACGACATATAAAAACCTGGTTTACATACACATGCCGAAGGTGGGCCCTATTAAAATACAATAGTATCGTTTTTATATTAATATGTAGAAGAATTCGAATTCATACCTCAGGAAAGATATTCGTATTAGCTGGGCAATCACGAAGCGTTTTTATATCGGCAGTGGTTTGATTAATCAGTAAATCTACAGTAAGGAAAACAATAGTTTACCACAATCAATTATAGCTTAAAAACTATTGAACAGCTTACAACAAAAGGTGTTGCTTCTAACAGAATATGCCGAAGATTTGCAGATACAATAACTACCATTACTTGCTATTGCTGCGCTTAAGCCAAATAATTTAGCACAATCGCTGTCCAGTAAACCGGGTATATTTGGTGCTGTAGGATCATTATCATTGTAGACTCGATTTGATTTAGGCACTTAACAAGAATATTTATTTTTATTTAAATAATTTCTCCATTCTTTATTACAACAAAGAATTCAATTAATTCATAATCACTTACCACATTTATCACCATTCGCTGTATAGGCAACATCGCACTCGCATGCCTGTTGTGCAATACTATTACTGTTCGGAGGACATGCTGATGAAACGGACGGAGATGTAAATGTAACACCAAGTCGGTACCCTGAATTAAAATAATAAGGCTATTGCATGAATTTATTATAACACTTACGGCATCCGCTTTTGTCATCATTTATTAACGAGTCATTTGAACATTGGCAACGGTCACGTGTGTATGGTACAACGGATCCATTAAACATTGCACGACAATCGGCTGTTGTCAAGTCACCAATTGAAGTAGTTGCAGGTCCTGTGTATTCAACTAATTGCAATGCCAAAGGAACTACAAACCAAGAAATATATTTTAATAATTAATTTCTTTTTTTATTTAGAATTTATTCTTACTGCATTCCCGTAAATCATTTGATGGACGATAGCCAGAATTACATTCACATCGAGAACCTTGTAAAGTCGAATTTGACGGGCACTCTGCTCTAACTGTAGCAAGAGTTTGATTTAATACTGCAGCTGTTAATATACAGAAATAAATCTCTCAATTGCTTTGTTTCCTAGTAGGTTGATTACTTACTACAACGCGTATTTTGTTTATTCGGAAAACTTTGTACTCCTGGACAACGACATTCACCAACAGAACAAAATAATGCCGTGTTACCAAATTTAAGCGTACAGATTGTATTATTAAACTGGTTTGAGTTGCATGGTGATTGAAATACTTCAGAGGACAATTTTACTTCTAAAAAATGGTTTGTCTGGTTTAATATAATATTTATTATAAATAGACAATACTACGAACCGCATTTACGATTTTCATCAGCCGCCTTATATCCTGCAATACATTCACATGCAGTAGTTGTACTATTTAGTATCGAATTTTCGATTAGACATCTAGTAGCAGTTGAATTTGTTGCCGTGCCAATGTATGTTACTAAAATATTAAAACAAAACGATATGTATGAAAGCTAAAATATCTTATTTCCTATCTCGAAATGGTAGTACAGAGTATTAGTTATTTATTGTAAAATTCATTTTTTAAACAAGAAAATCTTTCGTTCCTATAAACAAAACTCATATCTTACCACATTGACTTGGATCGTTCAAATCAAGAAATTTGCCTCTACCACATGTGCAAACATGTTTATCTTTGCGTGCTTCACATGTTAATGGTTCAGGACATAAACCAGCAACACTTATGGCATTATCGTTCGATGTTATACGCGTACAAACGCCATATTCTAGCATATTATTGATCCATTTAGGTTGAGTTTTCACTAGAGAAAAAAGGGCGTTTTTAAAAATTCATACACAGAGCTTTCTGTAAAATTTTATTACCACATGTTTGATCATTAGCTACGAATTCATAACCTGGTGCACATACACATAATTTATTGTCAACTATAGTTGTTTCGTTATTTCCAGCAATACAGTTAGCAGCAAAATCATGTAAATTAACATCGTTTGCATTCGGAAATATGAGCAAAGGTTTTGTCGCTTGTTTTTCTCAAATGAAAAGAAAAAATTTCAAAAAAACAGAACTTTCCTTATTATCTACATACCACAGTTATTATTTTTTTTCTCATAACTCACACGACACCAACATGTTGTTTCATCAGCAGCTTTCGCACATACGGCATTATCATCTGCGCATGAGCCACATTCACCATAGTTAGATACGACTGTTTCTAATGGTGATAATAGTGAGCTAACGATTAATTCTATACGATCGAGACAATAACAAATTATAAGAAAAAGAACAAAAGTATTTCGAAAATTATTTACCACAGTTTTCATTATTTTGAACTCTATATCCGGATGGACATTTACAAAATTTACCAACTGTATTCTGTGGACCAGGAATACAAGTCGCTAGAGCATCGATACATGAACTATCATCAATGCAAAATTCTCTATTGCTATTTGCTTCCGCCCAATTATTGTAGATTTTAACCAATTTTCCCTCTAGAACAATGAAACAAAAACAACTTGGTGGCAAGAAAAAAATAATTGACAAAAACTACATACTGCAAGATATATTATCAGCATTTGGTTCATAACTCGGTGCGCACGCGCATCGAGAACTCGAACAATATTGTGACCAACATTCTGTACCGTTTGAACAGACAGCATTCAAACTTTTAACTAAAGTAATTGATCATATTGCCTCAAGTTATTAAAAGAAACAATTTCCAACTTACGACAAAGTCCACTCTTAGCTGTAAAGCCTGACGTGCACGCGCATTTTTTTCCAGCACAAATGGCATAACTTATGCAGTTTTCAGTTACTTCGCAAGAATCTCCTTCGTAAGCATAATTTCGATTTAATTCTATAAAAAAAAGAGCACGTGTAGAATCATTTGTCTATTCGAACGAAATAAATTACTTACCACATTGAGATCTACATGGAACATATGCTGGAAAATTACATTGACATTTTCCATTTGTACAAATAACATTGGAGCCCTCGCATGGAGCATTATTTGAGCAAGTTCCGTCCAATTGAACTAGATTTATGATCAATTAGTTATAGAGAGATGTATTTCTATGAAAAAAATATTTACCCGCTACGGTTGATGAGATTGAAAAAAGTAAAATATAAACGTACAGAGACGATTTCATTTCTAATGCCAAAACGTTAAAGACAAAAAAAATGATCTACTAATTTAGTATGAAAATAGAAGAATGAAAGGCAGTCTGTTTTTTTTCACAGTTTTTATAGTTAAACATATTCAATTACGAAAAGCAAGTTAAATAAATATAGAATCCCTTTTTCTCATGTCTTTATTTCATTTTGTTGTTACTCACAATAAGAAATCACTCCTTAAACATCTTATCGTCGTCGTCATCGTCGACAGACAACGTCACCATATACTTCATTATTACTCAGTTTTATTTCGATAAATACGCCCCTCATACGCCTATATCTCGTCGTTGTGTTTGACTATAGAAACCGTACTTGAGTAATTTTATCTGATTTGGCATTTTTACCACCTAAAAACCTATAACAGGAAAGTTGAAATTAATTTTTTTTCTTCTTCGAATTTTCTATTATGCAAACGAAGGACATGATTTTGTTATCGATAGTCATACGATACAAAGAGAAATCATGTATTTACATTAAAACGAGTGGAATTAACTTGAATTTTTTCACAAAGAAATTTAAATCATTGTCAATATTAGATGACTAATTAATTCGCCTGTTCTAAAAATGATGAGCGAAAATTTGCATTTCGTTATCAATGATTCAGTGAAATTAGGTGGGTGTTCGTTTCATAATTTCTATGTAGGATGAATAGAAAAAAGAATTTCGTTGACTCATTATCATCATTTGATATCATAGATTATGATGAAATTCACGAGTGAAAATAAATCGACGGATCATAATCAACAGATATGGATGTTTATTCCAATTGACATTTGAGGAAAGAAACTATAGTTGCATCAAATATACAAATTCATTTATATACCATAAATATCCTGTGATGATGTTTTGAAAATGCTATTTTTAGACAGTAAACAAAGTTAGTGATACTCTTTAATATGCTGTATTTGTTATAGAATTAGGCGGGCAAATAATCGAATCCAATGAAGGAGTGAGATAAATATTTAATTGTGTATTGAATATATCAAGCAAAAAAATCACTAGAAGCGACGAATGCGCGCGAAAAGAATTTTTTTACCCAATTTATGTGTATCATGTCAGAAATATCTATGATATTCGCATTTTAATTTATTTTATAGAAGAACTAGACTCGTCTATCTTATAGTATTTTCATTGTGAATTCTGTTGATATTTTTGTAAATAATAATTATGATAAATAGAGAATGAATTGATTTCATATTTTTAACTATCCCATCCATTTATTAATCAAAAAGAAAAAGAGAGCAGAACATATTTTATGCTTAATAGTGCACTGAATATGAAAAAAAACTTATTTATTGCCATAGAAAACATTTCCATTGTCAATAGCATTTGCAACACCTAAGCCTGATGCTGTTCGATATGAGCCAACCTAAATAGAAAAACATCTTATGAATGAACATTTGACTTTCACAATCTTACTTGTGCGGTTTCGACATTTGTATTAATAGCAGTAGTATGAAGCGAACTATGTGCAACATGATAGTCCGATCGGAAGTAACCGCCAAAACGTAAAGCTTGGTGAAATATATGAAAGTCATCATTAACATTGATGCCAAGTCGTGGAAGCCATTCAGATGGAAAGTATTGAGCATGTAATAATGAATAACCAAGTCCTGTTAAATGACCGCTATATGTTGCATAACCAGCAGCAACAAACATATTCATAGATGGCGTTGCGGTACATGGCCATAAATTCAAACTACGGAAATGATCAATGGAGAAATATTCTCGTGAAATAGCATAGTAAGCAGCACCAGTTAATAAATAGTTGCTTGGTTGTAAATAGCCAACATGAACAAGATCGTTGAGAACAACTGATGATTGCGTTTGTACTTGTTCTTGGTAAACATATTCAGATGATTGAGCTTGAGCACCCATACCGAATGGGAAAACGCCAAGATTTTGATAGATTTCTCTTGAAAATAAGCCCGTTCGCATAGCAGCTAAACCGACGGGTGTTAAAATATTCGATGCACCATAAACATATTTAGCAGTGGACAATTGTGAAACTGATACTTGTGAATAATCATTGAATGGACAACCGAGTGAAGCAAAATTAGCATTGGATAAATAGCGAATATGTAAAGCAGAAATACCGAGTGCTGTTGGAACACAATCAGATGTTAAATAGCCAGCTTGAGTAAGTGTTTCAGATGTAAGACTTGCACCTTGTAATGGATATAAATTCAATGATTGAAGTTGCGATGGAACAATGTGACCAAAAATACTAGCTTGAACACCTAATGCAGTAAGTAGATTTGTTTGACCGTATGTACCAATATAACCGGCATTAAGTAAAACATTTGAATCAACGGTTTGCACGGGAAAGAGGTTAAGTGTGGCAAGTTGTGGGAGTGTGATATGGCCTAGATCAATGGCTGAAAAAGCATTGGCTGTAAATAAGTTTGTATTTGGAACACACATGCCACCATTTTGGAGGGATGATAGAGACACAAGACCACCAACGAATAATTTACGTTGTTGAACGTAGCTAATTGTTCTTTGAAGTTGAACACCGCTTTGACTGAGCCCATAAGCATATGCTTCGCAAGTACGTGATGCTGTATAATCACATCCTGCATTGCCCGTTACAGATGGGAACAATCCGGCAACTTGTCGTTTGAAAATACGTTTATCCGAGCGTTTTTGACCATTGTTGGATAATGATTCTTGTTTCCATGCGTCTATTCGTATATGTATAGAAATAAATAGTGTTTAGCATTCGAATATTGTTTTTCTTATAAACTACTTACCAAGGCCATGGATGGCTAAAACCAATAAGACAATGATAGAAATGCTTGATACGAAACTATTCATGATGATTGATTGTGAATGATATGAAAAACTATGAAGTTGGGTCTGCTTATATAGTCGGCAATGTCCAAGGCTTTTTCTTATAGAAAGTAGTCTTCAAATAACTACCAGATGTAATTTGTCTATTTTAACTTGCTTGTTTTTTTCAGACACCGACCGGCAAGCAGAGAAATTCAATTAAGAAAGTTCGAGAATAAAATTTTGTTGAAAAATCAGATAGTGAATGTGTGTTATAGATTAGGAATGAAAATGATTTTCTTCTGATACACTCTTTTTTTCTAATAAAAAACAGATGTTAATTGAGTATCCCACAAAATTTGTTTTATTTATTTACTATTCATCAGATATTATATTGGAATTTTTTTTATATATGATCTTGAACACAAATTTAATGTCCGAATCGATTGTTAGTTCTTTGTTTTTGTACAAAACAAAAAGAAAAAATGTTTTATTTCATTCCCTGCTGTTCATTTATGAGCTCGGCATGTGAAATGAGTTATTTAAGAATTTCATAGCGATAAAAGTTAGGCATAACAATTTCTCGGGAGTGAAAACAAGTTTACTTTCAATTAGGACCCAGCCTTTCATATTTGACTGTTGGGTGTCGTGCTATTGACAGCAGTTACTTCTGCTCTATTTTGTCATCGAATATCAGCAGAATCAACTTCTTATGATTTCAAGACTATGGCATAGTTCTTTGCAAAAATAATAATATCAAAACTTTGATTTGTTGATAAGAACTTCAAAAAAAAAACAAATTGAGATAGAAATTAGATCACCGAATAACATTGGTAACCCGAGTAAAAATTCTTTGATGCTCCGAAGCACGTCAACACCTATGATATATTCTGAAAAGAAAAAAAAATCAAGGCAACCTTTTTAACATAATAATAATTCAATATCTTGAGAAATATATCATCTTTCAGCTTTGAATCGCTGGCGCCTTTTTAAAATTCTTAGCTGAAAAAGCACAATGCCATTGACTAAAAACGACTTAATATTGCATTAATTCACAAGAAATTATTATATCATAGAATTAGTGTAGAATAAGATTGGCATTGTTTTAAAATTAAATATTTATTATAGAAAAAACTAAATGAAATACATGCAGAACTAGAAAAAAATCAATTTTTAAATAAAAATGTACAGAATTTTACTGCTATATTAGAATGTTTTTGATGAAAGTTTTTTTTTAATACATCAAGCACAATCTGTGTTTGTCGAAGACTAGTAGAAAAGAAAAATCACAGTTTCAAACATTTCCTGTATAAATAAAGCATTATAAAGTTAATCTAATAAGCTGTGCATCATATTTCTATTCAATGATAAAACAGAAGAGAGCGCATCTGAAAAAAAATATCATTTTCAGTATTATAACACAAGAGCTAATATCGATAAGGTCATTTTCACATTAACAAAAAATACAAATATTTACCTATCAAGATGTACTGGATCGGGACACTTTTTATCATTATAGCAATATTCTATGATAATACAGCGAATGGAATAGATATAGGTTATCCAACAGTAGCCCAAGCTGGTTTTCATCATAATGCATTACTCTACATTGATGGGGATCATTCGCCAGAAAAATTAATGTTATGGCTAACAGGCTCATATGAATTTATCGAGTCTCGTAATGTTATTTTCGATACAATTACACTAATTGCTGAAAATACACTGTCAGGTGCTTCAACGGCATATTCAACCAATAAACAAGATTGGATGTGGCTTCTTGAAACAAAACTTTTTAGTACATATGGTGTTCTATCGAATTTGACGCACGCTCTGAATCAATTAGACAAGATAAATAAAACATTGCAAGTCATTATCATGATCCCATATATCGATTCAATTGGACAACAGAATTTTTCACTAAACATGGAACTTATCTCTTCAAAATCATCGTCAACAAGCTATCCAATGGTATGTTGATACTGTCAATGAAAAAATGAAACAATATTCTATGTTACATTTATGGGGTATCTATCTTTTGCGTGAAGATATTAGTCTTGGCATAAATGAACAGATAACATTAGAAATAAGTAGTATTGTTCATTCAAGACAATTACGATTACTTTGGATTCCATACGCAAGTGCGATTAGTTGGAATAATTGAACTCAATTAGGTATTGATGTTGCTATTCTACAGTCTGGTTATGCATTTGCTTCACCATTAATGCAAGGAACATTTAATGCTGGCCGACTACGTGCGACTGCTAAACTTGCTCAACAGTATGGTTTAGGTGTCGAAATAGAAAGTCATCAAGGATCAAGTACAGACTACGAAATAGCACTTTTACAAAATTATTTAGCACAAGGTTACATTGATGGCTATCAATATGTACCAACTGCTTATTTTCTTGGTAACTATGAAAGTGTAGCTCGATCGCAAAAAGCTTGTGATCTTCTGCAAAAGTATACATCTAGCATTTGTATTGAACCAACATTTATTTCGAATGCAAAATGGTCCTGGACAAAAAATCCGATTATTCAAGCAAAAATCGGCGTATCATCGGATATGAGACCCAGTGGTATTCGAATTAATTGGTCGCCCAAACACAAATATTGGTTTGGTCGAGTTGTAGTGGAAGGTTTTATTGCAATGAATAATAATTCTATATGGAAAATGTTGAGTAGTACGTAAATAGGCGCGAAAACTAGGCGCGATGAAGATTGGCCAAGTACATTATTACCATTTTCATTGTTACCATTAGAAAAAATCCTATCGATTCGAGTAGTGTTTATTGGTTCGAGTTGGTTACCTTCACTTGCTAATGAAGATCTTATTATTGAACAAATACCCAACGGTATTGCACTTCAAGCGAGTACCGGTGCTCCATATCGTATATCACCTTCAATGTTTTCTTATAATCCTCAATATGGTGACACAACAATGAAAACTTTGTCAAATTTTAGTCGTGGTTTACTCACTGATGATCAATGGTCAAATGGCCAATGGGAACCAACAATGTCTGTTGACTGGTTGGACAATACCTATACTCATTCCTATATACGCATAGCACTCGATTTTACGGCTATAATGAATATCAATGAAATTATAGTTCGTTTACATGGTGGTTCATATGGATCTATTAATTGGCCTAATACGGCGCGTCTACTTGTTAGTTCTGATTGTGTACCATTTTCATCGTATAGTTCATCTGATTGTACTGTAAAAAGTTATCCATGTACCGATCGTATTATAACTGGTAGTAAAAACACTGATCAAGGAGGTTTGTTATTGTTTAAAGTTTCGAGTTCTTTTCGTTGGGCAAAACTCGAATTTCAACCAAATGCTTGGCTTATGATTGACGAAGTACAAGCATTTGTTAATGGAAATGATATTTCACATTTAGTTAATTATTATTTTCTTACACCACCGACTTCAAAACCAGTATCCTCAAGTGACGGTGCTTATCTAGACGATGGCGTTCGTCTTAATGATGGCGCCATAGCTGGTGTACTCGGTCCAATTACAGGATGGATGAAAAGTGAATTACGTACGATTACGATTGATTTATTAATCAATGGAAATATTCGCGAAACATCTGTTTGGGCATTAATTAAACCTGACTGGGCGATTAGTCCACCACGATCGGTGATAGTCAGTACGAGTTTAGATGGTATCAAATGGATATTATTTGGTCAACAAGGACAAATGCAATTAGGCGAACGTATGTTAGATGCTCAACATTTATTTATTACTACTGCAAATTCAACTCTGACTCGATATATAAAATTTGATTTTGTTATCGATGAGGTATCACCAGGATGGTGGACTATGGTACCTGAATTAACAGCTACAAAAAAATTAGTCTTATTGTTTCTTTTTATTTAAAACGCAAAAATAATATTCTCTTTTTAAAATTGACAAATCGGAAAGAAAACAAATGAATAAAATTTTTCTTTTAAACAGTTCGGTAAAGTTTCTTCCATACATTCATAATTTGTTTTTCTTCATTTTGTCTAGTTCATACAAATTGAATTAGCATATTGTTGTGTAGCATCAGCAATCGCATACGGACAACTTTGATAGCCATTGAATTCATTAACCGCATTACAAGGAAGATCAAAACTTCGACTAGCATATTGCGAAAGATCGGGCTGGGTTAGTTGAACTCTAATCATACGAGAAGCCAATGCTGGCGGGCTTATTATCCTCGCTCGATAAGCTAATGTGTGTGTCATTAAATCCCCAGTACAATCAGTCGCAGTTTGAAGAGTTTGTCGATGAACATTTGCATAATTGAGCATATGCATAAATCTAGCCATGAATCTAGCCCAGGCCGCGCTACTTGTATCTACAGTATTATTTGCTAAAGTCGGTACCGTCATTTCGTCAATTGTTGAAAGTTCATCTTCATATTTACTAATCATACTTTGTGTAAAATTCTCAATGGCTTCGCATATATCTCGATGTAAATTAATATATCTTCGGTAAGCACTAATAATTATATTAATGCCTTGACGAAGTTCAGTTTTGATAGTAGTCCATTGTTGAGCAGATTGAATATCTTGCGAACCAGCTTCAGCCATTTTATCAGCAGCTAGCATAATAGCGTGAGTTATGCTCTTTATGGCATCGTCGTCTTTTCGAATCGCTTCTTTAATTTTGTCTTCCAATTGTTTTTGATCAGCAAAAACGTTATTTAACAAAGCTTGTGTATCACTTTTAAAACTAGCATCTCGTATATAACGCGCTAGATTTTCATTTCCTATATTAAATTCATATGAATAATTTATTGATCCAAGTATAATCAATACATTGATCAATTGAAAATACGACATTTCACCAAATTGCTTTGACTTAATGAGAAAAATTTAATTTTTCTTCTGTTTCTCCTATGTTGTCTATGGTGTACTAGTTTTAAAGACAAAAAATGTGATTTCTATCAATTTACGCACACTCTCTATTGCCTGTCATCTTATTTAGGTCAGTTCTAAAGTTAACTGAAAAATCTGATATAAATTACAAGAGAACACATATGTAAATCATATGAAACTGATTTATAAAAAGACAAGAATGAATTTGCATTGATTCATATTTTATTTGTGGAGCAAGCCAAAGAAAAAAAAATTTGCTCCTTAGTGTGAAAGATACACTAAGAAATAAAAGCAGCATCAAAATTACAGATCAACGATCAATACGCTTTAAATTTACTTTGTCGATGCTCACCAGTACATTCAACAAGGACCTGTTTTGAGAGACGAAATAGTTCGAAATTTTCCCATGTATCGGGTACAACTCTTTTGCAAACGTAAAAAAATGTATGTTTAGGAACAGATAGCCTTACAAATTCTAGCTGATAGTACATTTTACTGTAAAAATAATAATTGTTTTTCTCTAGTTTTGTAATAAATTTTCATTTATTCCACTCATCCATATCAATAAAAATATTGAAAATTTTCACGGACTTGCTTTGATGTGTGTGACAATACTAATATTTCAAGGCAATTGATTACCTGTTCTTTTTTAATGTATAAAGTAATTAACTGGCAATATGGATTGTGCTAAATATCGTACAGATAGAACACTTGTAGCCATGCCAATAGAATATTAGCTGTTTAATTATTCTTTTTGTTAATCTATATCAAGTATTACTTGTCAGTATGTCTTCCGGGTACGCAAGTGAAGACAAGTGAAATTCTAAGAAGTAATGAACAATAGGCCCTCAGAGAATACATCGCATTTTTTACTACACACAATTCAAAACATTTTAATAGCTTGATGTTTAGCAGATTTTATAATAGCTAATATTGAAAGGTTGTGTGTGTCGTAACTAATGAAGAAAGTCCCTTGAGAAGATCGACAAGAGCATTCTCTTTTTGTCATATGTTTCAACTCTCACTAGGAGCAATTCTAAGTTTATCTTCTTCCGACTTAATGCAGCTGACGAATAGTGCAATGCAGCAGTCTTTATTCGAATGTAAAGAACAATACGGTGATAATTTTTCTTCTTATACATTCTCAACCTTTTCGCTTTCCCCATTGGCTAAAAATAACAATCACAACAAATAAATAGTTACGAACATTCACTAATGCATAACGCTCGTCTATCAACTACTGAATCATAATGTGAATTTACATCAGTTTTCTTTTTTATAATTTGAATATTTCAATTTGTTTTAATGCATATTTATGTATTTGCTTTTATTGAATCAATAGATCATGTTCGTAGCGGATTAACGTCAGAAAATAAAGAACATTTTTTTTCAAAATTAAGAATTCAGTTCTCGTACAAAATCAATAGCTTGGTAACTACATGTTAACGCCATTTAACTCATCACTCGATGCAATCAAGCGTAGTGATAAGATAAATGATTTTGTTAATGAGCAAAAAAAAAATGTTTCGTATACGAAATTGCCTCAAGGGTATGACTCGCAATTGTCTATCTTGTTTATGTTGTGTTCCTGTATTGCTTTATTATTTTCGAAAGTTCTTTTTAAAAAAAATTCTTCTGTTCTTCCGAGTCTATAGACGTTACTGCTCATAAAAATATCATTTATCATCATTCTCTCTAATTTCAACTACTTCGGCGACCGCCCCGTCAGATTTTATGAATCATTTTTTATTTCTCTTGACGAGCGCGCTCTCGCTTGAAACAGTTATTTATTGGTCTTAGTATATTTACCAATGGCGTCCTACTTTTACTGAATCACCTGTCAATGAAAACGGCTTGATACCTATCTACGCTTCATTTTGTGAAGTGTTTAGCAAGGCTTAACATTTTTCTTTTGTTCCGGTGATCACAACGCGTTTTGAATAAACAAACATTTATTTTCTCGTCTTCAACATATAATCAATCATATGAATGCTCCGGTAAGATAAAAAAAAGAAGAAGGAAAAGGCATATGCATATTGAATATAATTATATCTCACACTTGAACATGTCTAAGCTATCTATGACACTTCGCATAGATTATATTCTTATGTTACTTACACTTCACCTATCATATTAAAGATGATGTTCATGGTTGAAACTCTTACTAACAGTGAGGAATATAAGATGATGACAATAATATGAGAAAAGAGAGAAAGTAAATGTTATGCGCGCGTGTGTGTGTGTGTGGACGCGTTGAATTCACAGCATGTCATGTTTTTCCTGCAATTCTTTTTCTTTTTCTTCTCTACTCTTCGTTATGCTCATGTTCATGCCAATGAAACAGAGAACATATATTACTCGTTTGCTCTTTGATTAGGTATGTTCTCCTTTCCTGTACTATCGAAATAGATTAATGTGTCTGGTATTGAACATAGGATATGCATCAAATATCGTCTCTCTGTGTGTGTAATCGATCTATTCATTTACTAAACATATTGTAGGTTGCTACTGAACGCAAATCATTTTTACCCTTACGATTACCATCAAAAACAATTATAGAATCTGGCAGTGTACCTATTACGCATCGGCAAACAACAGCTGTTGCAACGCCAATGACATTGACTGTGGAAAACGATACGTTCGTTTGATTTCATTTTTGTTTTCAATGAAACAAATGTGATATTTATTATTGTGACTTCTTTTCTTGTTCATTATTATAGGAAATCATTATTTGCAGTTGGCGATCGTGTTTTAATAAATGGACTAAAAAGTGGTACACTCCGTTATGTTGGCGTAGTAAAATTTGCTCAAGGCCTGTTTTGTGGCATTGAACTTGATGAGCCCGATGGTAAACATGATGGACTAGTGAACAACATTCGGTATTTAGAAACAATCAAAAGCAAAAGGAATTTTTTTCATATATAAATTTTTTCTTGTTATGAAAGATATTTTCAATGTAAAACAAATCATGGCATATTTGTACCGCAAGATAAAGTTATCTTGATATCTCAAGGTCGAACGACTGTATGTATTTGTTTGAAGAGAAAAAAAAGAAAATTTCGAATGTAAAATAAACTATTTAGTCAACATCACGAATAATTAGTCGTTTACAACCACCGAAAATGACACGTTCATTAACACTGCCATCGTCGATGAATAGAAAACTACAACCAATTCAAATAAAATCATCTCCGACATCAAATCATTTACCAGATATTATTCCAAATACTTCAAATTCTATCCAATCGATGACAACAAATGAGCAACCAATTGTATCTGACAATCATGTTCGTCTGGTTTTCTAATCAATATATTCTTTTTCGACAAACATTCATATCTCATTCTAGGAAACGGTCCGATTAACAATAGAAACAAACACGATGATGGAACCGTTATCAGTAACAAATGATGAATGTACGCATAGAAACAATAATTTCCTGCTCGCCAAAAAAATAATTCTGTATATTTTTCAGCTTTAGAAACCGATTTCACAGACAGTGTTTCATTAATTTTACATCAACTTCAACAAGAACAAAAAGCTTTCTTTAGTCAACCATCTACTTCAACAATAGCCAGCGAAGAAGGTACGATAGACGATGAGAGTGACGATGATGAGGATGATGATGATACAGATGGATTAGATAGTGAGAGTATTGCCGACTCAGCGATGAGTGAACAAGTACAATCAATACCTTCGTTACCATCGACAAAATCCATTCAAACAGATTTATCATTTGATATAAAAGATAATATAACATTTGTGAAAAATAATTTATTAAAGTCGAAATCAATGTCAATTTCAAATAAATCATTAGTTGGTTCGATAAAATCAGTAACTAAACCAAAAATAAATACTCAGGAAAATAACGTGATGAATGGCAATGTAAAAAGAGAAAGTTTACCAGCTCATGTTGCAGTAGTAAAAAAAGGTTAGACAAAGCTTCGCTCAGCTGATTAAAAACATGTTTCGCATATTCAATAGGTTTCGAACGAAAATCATCGATTCCATTAACGAACAATTCAAGTACTACTCGAAAATCATTATTAATACCGCCGAAAAAAACACCCACTTCCATTAGTAGATTAAGTTCATTGAATTGGGAAGGATCACAATCTAGTAAATTGTGTTTTCTTTTGAATAACACACTTCATATTACCATGAAATCTCTCTGTTTAGAACTTAATCAACCGCTTTCACCATCGAATTCTCTGAATAGTAGTCATTCTGATTTATCATCCAATCAACAACGTACATCGAACATCGCTACAAAATCAACATTAAGAACATTTCGACCAGCGTCACATTCGATTGATCTAAATTTAGGTAAGAGAATTTCGTGTTCAACGAGCGTTAGAATATATTTTTTTATTAAGATAAAAAACCGAAACAAGCTCGCAATAGTCTCGATACGACAGACAATCAATTAATCATGTAAACAAAATATTTTTTCGTTCGTTCGAAATATTTTTTCTTTACTTTCATTTTAGACAAAAAGTTCTTTGTCAATCACTTGAAGTTACTAATGAACGTTTAAAGAAGCGATATCAGACGTTACTTAATCGTTTTGATCCAATGCTCATTTTAAGTCAATATTACATAGCCGAAGTAAGATTATATTTTGTTAATAGAAGACCAAACGCTTTTATGATTTCTTTAATTTAATTTTTTACTACTTGTCAGAATGAACAAATCAAACAACAACATGAATTAAAATTATCGAAAAGTATGATTTGATTTTTGAAAATTTTACATGTAAAATCTATTTTACTTTAACTAGTTCGAACAGAACATAGTCAATTAAAGGTAAATATTTGTTTTTCATTTATATTGAGACAATATTTGAAATTATCAAATTAGAATTTTATCGAACAATTACAATTGTCTCATAAAAATGAAATAGTTACTTTAAACGAAAAATGCAAAAATCAGATTAATGCAATGAAAGAAACTTATAACGAAAAATGTCTTGAATATCAACGGCAAATTGATAAATTATGCGTAATTTTGAATTTTTTATTAGTTCAATTCCGCTGTAAATCTTATCTTATAAATAGAATGAAAAAATTCAATTGGAAACTCGCTCCAAATCACTTCAAGAACAAGTTGATAGATTTATGGAAGAAATGGAAAATAGTGAACATGCCGACCCATTATTACGACGTGTCGAAACACTTGAAAAAGATAAGGCTAGTTTACAAACAGTGGTGGAAATGAGAAATCAAGAATTAACACAATTAAGAACTCGAATCAATGAACAAGTATTTCAAGTAAAACTATCGATTGTGTCGTTTTTCTTCAGTTTCAATTATGCGAAGTTATTTTAGCGTGAAGATCAATTAGCGTTACAAAGACGAATTGACATGGCTGAAAATCGAAATCAAGACCTTGTTTGTCTTCTTCGCAATTGGCAATTAAATGAAAAGTAAGTGGAAGTTTCATTCAGAAAATTGCGAATCTAGTTTACCGTACAATGAAATGTATTTTATTATCGCTCAATCAGTCAAAGCGCTTTAACTCGAAGATTTTTAATGTTTTTTCTACTGATGAATTAGATATTGACAATTGATATAGTATTGTAAAGGTTAACAACTAGGAGGAAATTTTACGTTTCCGATTATAAGAATCACATTTTCCGCATTCTTTTGTTTTCTCCGGAAAATAAATTTCACAAAGGAAAGGCTCGGAGAGCTACATTCGTTTCCCAAGCATAATAGACCTAATCGAATCCATTTTTTCACATTATGACGCACTTCTGATCATGAGTGAAAGAAAATAAGCTAAACGCAATGAAAAACATTACAAGAATATAGATAGATTCTATTGGGATCCGAGAATTTTGTAGCGTATACAGAGAAGTATTTGGAAACTCGAAAACTATTGCAGCATTGTCGTTGAATCATTATCTTGAAATACGACCTTTCTAACATTAATTGTGCTTCTTAATAAAATATTTATTACATATAAGTAATGAGAAGTTTGAAGTGCACTAAATATAATTATCAACTATAGAGTATAGTACTTATCAATGAAATGCTTGCGGTCATCATGACAGCACTAAAAATAATGAGTATATCATTATCGTCCTCAAACATGCGTTGGAAATGGTACCGTCCATTGTGTTTATGATGCCCGGAAGTATGTAAAAGTAGATACTACGAGAATTCAAAATATATCTTGATGAAAAAATAAAAGGTTAATCTTATCATTCGATTACGAAATCGGGCAAAATCTTTATTAGAGTAGAAATTCGAACACGTACGAAATGACTCTATTTAATTAAATAAATATCTCGTACTTTTAGAGCGGCTATGGTTGAACGTGATCAGCTCAAAGAACAAGTAGCTCTATTAGAGCGAGACAATCAGCAGTTAACATTTGAAAAAGAAACGTTACTCTATCGTCTTCGTCAACGATCTCTATCAGCATCAATCACATCGCCACCAAAATCGAACGTAAATTCGCGTTCTACGCAAAAAGTTCGCAATCGAGCACGAAGTTTTTCGTCAATAATTGCAACTAATAATACTCATGCGAATGGGCATCTTACACGCTCATCGTCATTGAACTGCATTTTAAATCGGTGATTTGTTTTTTCAATATGAGAATGCATCATGTCTACTTGTATAAATTCTTTTACTACATTTTATTATTTACATTCATTTTTGACAATACTATGGACATACATGTATTATGTTTGTGTGATAAATATTCTTTAAATGTTTTTGTTGTTACCGTATTTTATTTATTTAAATACACGCATTTGTTGGCATTTGTATTAGCCTCTATTTGATCAAAAAAATAGTCTTTTATTTATTTTTCTCATTATTTTCAATGATTTACAACGAGAAATTTCTCAGGATTGCACTTGTTTCTTGAAATAATGGTGGCCATTAACTAAGCAATTCAGATAAACATGTACGATAGATCCTAAAGTGAATATGAATTTCAGCGTGCTACAAGATTTTATTGACATTTCTTCTCATATAACTTGCCACAGCTTCGGGCACCAGTGATCAACGTATAGCAAAGGTTTTTTCATCTTGTCATGTCCTACTTGCTGTCACAGTCCTGGCGGGTAGTAGGACACGACATCAACATTTTTCTCCTGGTTTGCTTTCTACTAATTAAATCCATCTTTGCAGGTGACAGAAAGCTAAGTGGGATATTTTTTATTTATATTTTAAAGAAGTTATCTCAAAGCTGATTTATTCTATCTGACTTTTAAGAAAACAATATCAATGATAAGCAGCTGGCAAAGACAAAATCAAAATCTCGTGGTGTCCTATGCTTGACGAGCAAAGTTTTGTTCACACTTTTTCCCAAGGTAATCACAAGGACAAATTTTCAAAAACATCAATACACAATGCATTCAACTATTCAAATTTGATCATGATTAATTAGAAGATATTTTCTAAAGAAGTCCAAACACTCTTTATTTAGAAGTCAATACTAAAATCCAGAATTAGATTCTTAGTAAATATCTTTTGAAAAAGTGTGTATTAAATTAATATTCAAAATGGGAAAAGAAGAAGAAGAAGAAGCAGAAAAAACAATTGAATACATGTGTCTTAATTTGTTCTGAAACAATCCATGTCGAGAAAATCGATCTATTCAATAGACGTGAATACAATAAGAATCATATGGAATTGATTTAAACCAGAAAAAAAATAACAAAATATTTTCTTTGAAATTGAATACAGAAAAGTGTATTTCGCCTACTTGTATCTTGTTGTATCGTGCGACATGTGTTTTTCTCTACGCTACAATAAAGTAATATGTTAAAGATCGATAAATTCTATTATTGTACATAAAAATAGATTCTTCAATAATGATTTCCTTTTATTTAATATTCATCCTTCTATTTTTCTCGGTGAAATCTATTTTTATGGAAAAATCACCCTTCGACATAACACTTAACTATACTGATAAACAAATAATCAATAGAAATTTTACGCTAACAACTGAATTACATCATGACGTGCTTTTGCCCGTTGATTGTGGAAATAATCGATATCGATTATGTCTTGTTGCATTGTCATTACAAATACAATCTGACATAATGTCGATTAAATATTGGTGTCAACCGCCCGCGTTTCCATTTGCTAATCTCAATCCATTACAAAAACTGCATACATGTATACTACCAGCTGTTAACGTTACTCAAGAACCGACTATAACAATGATAATTAATTCACGTGATATAGGAAAAGTTACCGCAATAGCAACAGCTAATTTTACATATTCACCTCACTATGATACTGCACAGAAAACGCTAACACCAATTTTTATTTTCGTAAGAATTAAATATTTGCTTTTCTACGATAGTAGACGTTGACTTCTTTTTATCCTAAAGAATAATGACAATGCAACCAAGGAAGACATTCTTTCGAGAAGTGTTCGTTCAGTCATGAATGGCAACGATGATGCTGTTGAAAGTGAGCTTGATGATCCTGATTGTACAAGCGAAATAACATATTCGAGCAATGGTAAATATATAAAATAAGATAATTATTTACGTAATACAGTTCTGCCGTAGTTTATTTTGTTTGTTTTCAGGTCTACCAAAACAAGAAGATCCATCGAAAGATGATGAAGTAGGTAGACAATATCTGAAAAATGAGAAACATAGGTCGCATTTGTCTTTTCAGTCCGATGACGCTGCTGCGCCTGTTGATTTCGCATCAGTAAGTCAAATTTTCTATTCTTCCGATAATTACAATCTTCAACTGATTTGTTTTTGTAATTTTTTAGGGCATAATACCAGGTTCGAGAAATATGCAATACATTTTGTTTCATAGAAATTTTTGTTTTTTTAATTAAAAGACGAAGATCGCAATCAACCGATAGGTGAATATGATGATTCATTAGCAGTAGATTGTACCAAAGGTGATCCACTGTATGGCCATCCAAATGTCGAATGGATACGTGTAGCAAATGCATCTGATTTTATGATTGACCAACGTATCAACCAAAATGTTGATCCCGATAGTGATGGAATTGATTTTCCCAAAATGGATACATATATTTTACAAGTACGAATGAAACCTTATGTATTCTTACAATATGTTTCTGTTCCATCGAGTAATGTTATTTTGTTATACGTTGTTGTTCATTATGAATCAGGAAAACGACATAATGTGTATCATTCTAAAGTTGAACAGAGTCCTGTTGTAGAAAATTTTTTAGCGAAAGAACCAACGAAATTTTTTGAAGTTTATCTCAATGCAACGGATGACGGTTTACCACCTAGTGATGTTACATTAGATGTCGTATGTATTACTGATTGAAGATTCTTTTTTTTTCTAATTATAGAATTTTATTTAGGGTTACTGTATTGCACCAAGAAATACACATCCAATTGTAAGTAATCACTTGGTTATGATAATAAATGATGAGATCATGTTATTTCATTAGATTGCTGATTCTGAAGATTCATTAAGTGGACCCATTGATCTGCGTGTAAGTTGACGATTTTATTTGACATTTTACTTCGGTAAAAAGATTTTTTTTTTTTGATATTAGATGAATAATAATGCTGATCAAAATGATGGTTCGATATCTCCATTGATTGCTGAAACGGTGAGATACAGTGAAGTTTTCTTTAGTGAAAACTATCTGTTTTTTAATAGAAACTAAATCCAATTGAATCTCCGGATAATTCAATGCTGGTGAAAACTCAGCCAAGCATATTTGATATCAATGTGAGACAAATATATGTTAATAAATGAAACGCGATTGATACTCGATTCAAAATTTTTTTTTTTATAGACTGAAAACAACGATCCAAGGCAAATACCAGTCGTAAGAGATTTTATTTTCCATAAATAATAAGATACATTTACTGCATTTAGAATGTTAACAGAGACTCCATCATACTAGATCCTATTTCTCAACCACTAGCTAATGATGTTGAACGCACAGTGCCAGTAATCATAAATTTTGTACTAAATCAACATGCATATTGTACTGGTTTTCTTAGATTTTTGAAACTCAAGAATCACCTAATGTGCCAATACCTTCTAATTCACTTTTTGGAACAGTAGATTCTACTGTAAGTAAATTTGAATATGTACCATCAGACGCTTGTTTGTTTTCTTTTTGTCTATTGGCTATATCTATTCATAAGTTTGTGTAGATCAACCAGCAAGGCTCACCTTTGTTGCAAATTGTACGGCAACCATCAATGTTCCAATTAGCAGATAACACTGTTGGCTCGTCTTCAACTGTATGAGTTGCATGAATTTTCTTTTTAACACATTTCCTTTACGTTAGATTATGACTCAGGATCAACCAACTGCAGTGCAAGTGAAATCGCCACTTCTTATTGCTCCAATGGATATCAGTGTAAGATATCTATTGTAATTTCACAATAAAGAGCGCAGATAGATCATATTCTGATAACGACTAAGTTTTGTTTTCACGAGTTTTAACTAAAAGTATGAAACAAAATATTTATTTTAATCAATTATCAACATTTGTTATTGTTTTATTTCTTGCATATAACTATCTTTCAAATGATTTTAACACGAGCATAACTGTATTCATCTTGTTATTCAAATTTATGAGGAGGATGTTGAAAGAAATCGTGTATTATTTTTATAGCGGACACCAACTCTATTGAATAATTTACCGGCAATGACCACATCACAAGTTCCAGCTCAATATTCTTGTTATAATAATCCAAGAATTATTGGTAACAATAATGTACAAAGTGTATTTTCTCTGAATATACAACGACAAACAACAATTTCGGATCAAATCAATTCACAATCATCATCACCCGTAGCTACTCTTCAATCTTTCAGTCATTAAATATTCTAATCTTTTTTGTTCTACAAAGGGATATTCATTTTCATCATTCCAATATCCGTATCATACAATAGTCATCAATCTACGAGTCAGTACTTATGTTCATTCACTTTCTCTTGGATCTCAATCTAATGTACAACGATATGGTCTAAGATTGTACCATCCTGGGAGAAATGTCGATGATACATATTATTCATCGATGACTCCAGAATATGATAATCAGCCAACCATCGCGGGAATACCATTAGCCAAAGTGGCTATTCGTATGTATTTGAATTTATACACAACAAGCGATGGTAGACCACCAAGTAACATAAAAATAGTGCTCGTACGTAATTAATTTTAGGAAATATCGAATGATAAATGTAGGAGAGGTCGTGTTTTTGAATGAATAGAATGCTTGTTTTGATTCATCATCTATGGATAGTGCAATTAATCCAATGATTGGTGGTCAATACTATCGTACTCCGAGTATTCCACAAGTTTCCTATATACCAACAGTACCAAGACAACGGTTCTACGTAAGTAATTGTTGAAGTAATCTTCACGTAGTAGTAGCCCATGCGTTTATACAATTTCATTCAATAGACTGGAAGCTATTATGCTCCTGAAATATCAGTACCGGCTGTTGCATCGGACAGTATTGTTGGAACAGAGAACATTCCAGTAAGTATAGAATGTTAAATTTTTTTTGTATAAATTTTGTATGTCTGGAGATTAATCAAGTGCGATCAAATTCAGTGTCTCGTGACAATAACGCTTTCGGAACTATCTATTCGAATGTTCGCACACCCTATGTAAGTAATACAAGTTTATTTTTATAAGACTTATGGTGATCAATGTTATTTCATTCGTGCTGAAGGATGTCAGCGGCAGCTTATTTTCTCAATCTAACATTGCACAACCACCGTCTCTTGCAACTGATCCTATTGACAATGTTCGAATACCATCAAAACCATTCATTGCTACTCTTGATACAAATGTAAGCGAAACAAATATTTTATGAACTTCTAAAAAGTACCTATATCGGTTTTGAACACATTCTAATTTGAAGGATAACAATGAACAATCATATTATCCATCCATCGCCGTCAATCCACCATTGGGGGGTCGAGCACAAATCCCCATCGATCCGCCTGTAGTCATCGATCCACCATTCGGAGGTCGAGCACCAATTGCCATCGATCCACCATTCGGAGATCGAGCACCAATCCCCATCGATCCACCATTCGAAGGTCGTGCGCCAATTGCCATTGATCCACCATTCGGAGGTCGTGTGCCAATTGCCATTGATCCGCCTGTAGCCACCGATTCACCGTTCGGAGGGCGAGCACCAATTGCCATCGATCCACCCATCGTGATTGATCCACTAGTATGTTAATCACTTTTGCGTTTTTAAGGATGTTGCTATTTCTTTTTCATAGGTTGCTCCTAAACCAAGTCGTAATTCAGCTCCTTCATATTATTATAGTCCCATCGTTCAGGTAAATATACAAGAGAAAACCATTGATTGTATTTTTCCTATTAATAGTTAGATTTTGGATTCTGTATCGAAAACTAACTGAGTTTATGTTCGTAGTTTTTATATGATATCGTGTGGCAACTTTGTTCTTTAAATGAATATTAAAAAAAAATAACATTGTAAGCAAAATTTAGGAATATTTAACACGGTGGTAGAGAATAGTCCATCCAAAGTTTACAATCATGATTGTTTGTCTTAAATGGTCATTCAAATCAGTTGTATTTTATTTCTTTATGTTTGACTTAGCCCGTCTTTACAGATTAATTCGCGTGTTAGAGTGTTTTTAATGATTTGACCCCTCAGATACATATTTTCTATTTCAACTGTTCTATGTATTGTTTGATAAGCATACTGACTGCAACGAATTTTTCACGCCTAAACTAGAAAGAATTCTTTTTATATTTTGGCCTCTCTTCAGCGATCCCCTTTTGCATTGAATAATTTACCGACGATGACCACATCACAAGTTCCAGCTCAATATTCTTGTTATAATAATCCAAGAATTATTGGTAACAATAATGTACAAAGTGTATTTTCTCTGAATATACAACGACAAACAACAATTTCGGATCAAATCAATTCACAATCATCATCACCCGTAGCTACTCTTCAATCTTTCAGTCATTAAATATTCTAATCTTTTTTGTTCTACAAAGGGATATTCATTTTCATCATTCCAATATCCGTATCATACAATAGTCATCAATCTACGAGTCAGTACTTATGTTCATTCACTTTCTCTTGGATCTCAATCTAATGTACAACGATATGGTCTAAGATTGTACCATCCTGGGAGAAATGTCGATGATACATATTATTCATCGATGACTCCAGAATATGATAATCAGCCAACCATCGCGGGAATACCATTAGCCAAAGTGGCTATTCGTATGTATTTGAATTTATACACAACAAGCGATGGTAGACCACCAAGTAACATAAAAATAGTGCTCGTACGTAATTAATTTTAGGAAAGATTGAATGATAAATGCAGGAGAGATCGTGTTTTTGAATGAATAGAATGCTTGTTTTGATTCATCATCTATGGATAGTGCAAGTAATCCAATGATTGGTGGTCAATACTATCGTACTCCGAGTATTCCACAAGTTTCCTATATTCCAAACGGCTCACAAGAACAACAATCTTATGTGAGTACTTTATCACTAGTGAAATTCGTACGGGGGATAATTGAATTGTTTTTTGTGATAGTATTCAAATGCTCTTGTTCCAATATTGTCGGTGCCTACGATGAATGTTGTTTCGCCAAGTAACAACATGAACAATCCCGATGTTTTAGTAAGTTTAGTCTGTACAAATCTAACAAGAAGGAAAACGCATAATCGCTTCCGGATCAGTAACAATTTTTTTTCAATTATTGGTAATTATTGCTCATAGTAGTCATACCTGTTCGATCATGTAGGTATTCGTTGAGTTTGGATTAGGTAACAGTGCTGCATCATTAGTAATCTTAACTCATGCCCCACGTGATATTAGCGTATAATGCTTATCTGTTTTTGTTAAAATAAATGTTGACATCATATATATTTTAGTTCATTAATCCAGCTCTACCACTCAATAACCGAGTGCCATCGCGACCACTGATAGCAACAGTCGATTTCAATGTAAGCTATAGCGGGCGATGATGGGCTACATCGGAAACGATTAGAAAAACTTTATTTTTATTTATGAGCCAGTCTACATTAGCCGCACTCGATTTTACTCAATCTGAGATCCCAAGCTTTTGACTGCACCCTTGGGTGAAACTCAGCTTCGAAGTGCTTGAAAAGTTGTTTTGAGCACCATGCCACTGATATTTTGAGAGAAAACCAATTTGGAAGGTAATTTTTCTATTGTATTCATATAAAAGTCGTTGAAAAACGGTAAAAATTCGTTCGAAAGATCCTAATATATCGACAGGGACTTCGCCAATAAGGCTAAAAATTTGGTGCGAGACCTAAAACAACATATTCTACAAGTTGGGATAGATTTTGCGCAAATCTAGGAACTTCATTGAGTACCCCTATAAGGTGATCGGTCGTGGGGTACGTGGGCTGGCTCTTTTACGGCAGTATATTCACTTTTGCAATTACTTTTTATTGCTTTTATTACAGGATGATGTTAGTCAACAACCAGATTTCTCTATATCGGTATGTTATTCAATAAATTAATCATTGACATAATAGTCATTTTGAAAACTCTTCGAAAATTTCCTTATCTAGTGTTGTATTCAGATAGTGATTTAGTAGAGAAAATGTTGAAAATCGTGTTTGTTTATGTTGTTTATTATGACATAGGCCTCTTCGCCAAGCAACCCAATACCATTTGTTCGTACGCCTGGTCAATGCTTTGATCAAATACTTATTGTCGGTGGTTCACATATAACCATGATTCGGTCACGGAATCCAGTCGATCAATTAGTCGGACCCGAGATTAATTTTGGTGGTACTGGCTATACATTTGCATCGCCAAGTGATACCTATGAATTTGAAGTACATTTCGCTCAACCATTTACCATCAAATATATATTTATGTCATATTCATCAAATGCAGAAAGTTTTAAAGTAGAAGCTTCACATGCTGGAATGTTAGGTGTATTTACATCAACGAATACTAAAGATGGCTTAGTTGTGGACGGATTTCCACCAATGTTAGTTTCTATGTTAGTAATTAATATCATGCATACTACCGACGGATCCTTGCCAAATCATGTTACACTCAGTATTGTAAGAAATATTATCTATTTTGTTTTGAGTATCGAAATTATTGAATCTATTTGTTTTCAGGGTGTATGCAATCCAATATATTCGCCATCGAATGTAAGTATTGCGAAGCAGAGCTCCTAGTAAATATAGGTTTCTATGCATATAAATATTCATTTTGTTTCTTGTCTATATCGAAGTCACTTGAATAAAGAACATTTCATGATTAAAATATTCTCCTAGGAAGGCAATGAAGCTCCTGAAATGACTGATTGTACATCTCAATTGCGTTTAATTGGAAATTCCAAACAAGTAGCTCGAGTCGATATTAAAACTCCAACAACGGAACTCAAGGCTAATAATTTAATTAATCCAAATCAAGACGGAATGGATTTTCTTACAACAGATGAATATACCATTGATATCGTATTAAATAAAACCATGTCCATAGATAGCATAACACTTAATCCGTTAAGTAATGTTGATAGTTTCAAGATTCAATGTCATAATTCACATGGATATTATCTTGAAATAAAATCTATTATCGGTTGGAAAACAATAAATGGTCTCGCAAATACACACGCAAATTTAATACGAATTATACTTCTTGGAACAGAAGATGGCAATCCACCAAATCATATATCAATTAAAATAGTTAAGATACTTTTTTTTTATATTATGTGATCTAGATGATAAATAAACTTGCTTTGTTTGAAATCTTAGGCTGCATGTATTCCAACAAGTTTACCAAAAATCATGCGAAGTCCATTTAAGCATGTAAACGAAATTTGTTTAGTCTAAAGAGTTTTTATTTAATTGGCTCTTGTTGTCTTCAGGAAATGATCACGAAACGAAGAAAACCATCAAAATCCAATGTAAGAAATCTCACATAGTAAAATAAAACAAATATTTTCTTCTTTAAGAGAAATAATTTCGGTGTGTTTGATGACCAACTATCATCGGCCTACACAGTAAATAGAATTAATATCTCCGTCTAGCTATCTCTTTACATTTAATTTCTATTAGGAACAACAAGTTCCAATACAAGACGAATTATTGCAGCCTGACATACAATCACCAATATTTCTACAACTAACAGCAAATGTTGATGTACGTAAAAATGATTTTACGATAGAAGCTTCCAATAATATTGCAAAGTGAAAACTTGATCAAAGTCAGATGTAAATAAATTCTACGTTTAGATGCAGCAAGGTCAAGAACCTGGTTTTAGAATAATATCTTCACCAGTTATGGTACGAGTCATTTTTTTAGAATTTCGACGCTAAATGATAATTGTTCTGTAGCAACAATCAGTAACAAATGTTGCATATCGTCCATTGATCAATTCACAAGTACAATATATAGAAAATCAAATACCCGAACGAGATATTCATAGAACATTTTTCAGTCCAATTTTTCTTCAATCACCACTGAATATGAGCTTATCTACTTTTGAATCTGTCATGAATAAGAATCTCTCGCGCACGATCTATACTCACAAAAATATTGTGTTCAAACACCAGTTAGGAAACGAAGCCGAACTATTCGACAAAGATTATTTATGATATAGTACCGTGTTACTAGTTAGCATCTGTTGAGTACTTCAACGAGTGATCCTATCTTCGCTATTTACTTCAATGTACATGCAGCTAATTACATTAATACTACCGATCCGATGTTTTCTTTTTCTACATCAACTGCACTTTTGTAATCAAACATTTTCTTCTAGGTACCAATGCAACAAAATATTTTTGTATCACCAATCGTAAATCCAACGCTTCCGATACCATCTTATCGTGCTCCTTCGCCATCTGGATATACTTGTTCACAAGACTATCAGATTACTACCAGCGTTCATTTCAATTATGTCAGTACACTTTGTTGTTCATCACAATCATCGATCATGGATTCAACATCATCGAATTCATTACTTAGTAACAATGTAAGTCCTAGTGATATCAATAATTTTTATATCCTTTGTTTATCTAGGGTTACTCGTTTGCATCTCACCATTATCCATATCAAACTATTGTTATTAGTTTGAAATTTGTGGGCTATGTTCAATCGTTATCGTTAGGATCGCAAACAAATGTTCAACGATATGGCCTTCGAGTATTCAATCCAGCTCGAAATGTAGATGATACATATTATTCATCGACGGATCCAAACACTGGTCAATCGACGATTTCAAATGTTCATTTAGCTAAAGTAGCTATTCGCTTGTATATTAATTTGTATACAACAAACGATGGTCGACCACCACGAAATATTCAATTGAAATTCGTAATTAGATTTGCATTCCTGAATGATAAATGCATATGTTGTTCATATTTAGAATATTTGTTTTGATCTTCGTTCCCCATCCAATGGTGATAGACCATCTTCAGTAGTAGAAAGACCTTCATTACCCAGCCCAATGTTAATTCCTGAATGGACTGTATACGCTTCACAACCACTACAGATTTTTGTAAGTATCATAGTGATAGCTTTTAGTTATTTATTATCAAAACAATCGAGTTGTTTTATAAATATACTCATATGTTTGGTCTTTGCTAACCTGAAAAAATTATAATAGGTACAACCAATTATTAGTTGTATTAGTTCACCGATTCGAACACTATTTGTGGATGAACCTCAGCAATCATTGATCCAACCTTTTTCGGCTGAAATCATTATTGAACAACTCGTTCCTGTGATTTTAACGCAACCAAGTTATATAATGGTAAGATATTCCCATTCAACTTAATGTTTATTTATTATAATTCTTGTCGAAGCTGATGAAAATTGTTTAAAAGACTGTTTGATTAGAAAAGATTGATTTTTCTGAAAAAGAATTTTGTTGATGATGATCATGAATAGTCGATTTCTGTAGGAACAACGTACACCAAACATTGTCATTCAATCGTTCTCTTCGCCAATCGTTCAAGTATGTACAAACATCATGTGTGTGTGTGTGTGCGCGCGCTTATTTACTATGAACTATTTTGTATCTCTATTCTTATGTCTATCAGCAAGAATGCCTAGTGTTCAATTCTCTGAAGTAATATATGAAATCGAAACTGTTTTTAGCTCGGAAAGTCAGCTATTATTTTGATAAACACTCTTTTTAATGATTAATCTGATACATAAATATTCCCTGTAAGACACGAATGGACATTTCCTTTCTACTTATATACCCAGAATAGATAACAACGATAACTATTTTTGATATCTAGATACAATCAGTTCTGATACCAGCCATTCATATTTTTTCATCACCTGTTCTTCCGCCACCAGTAAGTGTCAACTATCAATACTTGATAAAAATTACTGTCATATTCTATACTTGTATACCTAGTTAATAGTTGACATAGCACGATATCCAACACCTATACGTCAATTCGATCCATCTCCGTCAATTAACATTGAGAGAATAGTAATCATTGAACAGCAACGGCCAATAATATCACTACAACTGCCTTCGATCATTATTGATACTGTCTTTAGTCCGGTAAAAAAATTTTGTAGAAAAGTGTAATTTGCTTGCGAAAAAGTAGTTGACTTCATCAAGATAACTACAATTAAAGCATCACTTTTTTTAATTCAAAAAGAAATTAATAATGTTTTCGAATATCATTTTCTTTCTACAAACAGATACGATCAGTTCCACCAACAATACTCCTTGCACTACCACCTCTTGAGATTGATGAGCCCGAAAGCTTCTCCTATCCTCTATTTAAAAAAAAACTATATTTCGATGATCATTCTTTATTTAAATAGATAGTTGAAATGCCGTCAATTGTACAAGAACCACTTGTTTATCAATCTGTAGTGATCGAGATTCAACAACAAGTCATCGTCTCTCCTATGATACAAGCACCTATCATCAATACTATCTACAGTCCGGTAAGACCCATCGCTAAACGTATTAAAACACAACACTGATGTAATAAAGCTCTGATGTGTTTTGCTGTTTTATTCCTACTGTTAGTTTCGCTTCATATTTAGATACGAATTGTTCCACAAGTAATAATACTTCGAATGCCATCGCCAATAATTGATCCACCCGTAAGTATAAATACGATATTTTGAATGAAAACGACAAAATTGACTGTCATTCTGTATGAAAACAGATAATTGAGCAACCTATCATTCAACGACCCCCACCAATCATCATTGAAGAAATAATCAACATCGTAAAACAACCGGTGGCTCAACCTTTAATTATCATTGAAAGAATCGTTAGCCCAGTAAGGACAATTTAATATGATGCTATTTAGAAATGGATAAACTGACCGAAAACAAAACAAAAGTCAAACATGATTTCAGACATTAATTTTTCTCTATGCTATTTACTTAATTGATTCTAACTGCCGTATCTTATTCTGTATTCAAGAAGAAACACGGTGTTTGGATAATTATTCTTTATTTAAATAGATCATTGAAATACCATCAATCGTCGAAGAACCACTTGTTTATCAATCGTTAGTGATCCAAATTGAACAACAAGTCATCTTTTCTCCTATGATACAAGCACCTATCATCAATACTATCTATAGTCCGGTAAGAACCTTCGCTAGATGCATTAAAACACAACATTGATAGATTAAAGCTTTCATGTCTGTTGCTGTTTTCTTCTTACTATTAGTTTCGCTCCATATTTAGATACGAATTGTTCCACAAGTAATAATACTTCGAATGCCATCGCCAATAATTGATCCACCTGTAAGTATAAATACGATATTTTGAATGAGAACGACAAAATTGACTGTCATTCCGTATGAAAATAGATAATTGAGCAACCTATCATTCGACGACCACCACCAATCATCATTGAAGAAATAATCAACATTGTAGAACGACCAGTTGTTCAACCTTCAATTCTCGTCGAACGAATCGCTAGCCCAGTAAGAATAAACCACGGTGGTAAACATGTCTCGTTCACAGAAAAGCATGAATTAAAGGGAATCAGAATAATTTCAAGAGAAGATCGGATATGAATCAATATTTATGGTAGTCTTTATTTATCGATCTTAAATTTATTTAATACATAGATAGTGACTCTATCAATACCAATGATCTTTTCGTTGAGGTCACCAATTATTGAAGCACCTGTAATTATGCACATTTTGATGTATTCTATAGAGAGAAATCCTCAAATTATAATTTTTCTTTTTAAATAGATAGTTCAAAGATCTCCAATTATCTCAATCATCGAAAAGCCTGTTGTTTATGAACCTCTACCAATCAATATTGATATTGAGATAGAACAGCCAGTAGTCATGCGCACTGCACCACCGCCTATCATTGATACAGTCTATAGTCCGGTAAGAATAGTTTCTAGTGGCAACAACTAATACGGACAAGCTAAAGAGTAGCTAAATAAAAATCATCAATAAGAGATGATTACAATTGTTTACATTTTGTTTTAATCTATAGATTCAATCAGTTCTACAACAGTTAATTCTCACGATATCATCACCTGCCATAGAATCATTAGTAATAATAATCTTCATATTTCGTGAAAATTATTTTCTTGCTCCTTCTGGTATTTTTCTTTAGCCAATCATTCGCATGCCAGAGATAGTACCTATTAATTTTCAACCAAGCGTACTTATAGAACAGCAACCACAAGTCATATCACCCGTTGTAATGCCTTCTATTCCAGAAGTAATAATACAAACAATCTATAGTCCAGTAAGAAATATCTTTATGTACCTGATTTATAAAAATTTCTCACATTTACATTACGAGACATACGAAATTCTGGTGTCTAAAATAACTATACAATATCAATATTTATATCATATCAGCGAACAATTCTTTATTTGAATACATTAATTTAGAGAATACCAGCTCCTATCTACGACACGATATCATCACCTATTGTCACAGTATGTTTAAACTGGAATTAAAAATCGCTTAGGATTTAGAATTTTTATTTTATATTAATAATATGCATTTTCTAGGCGCAAGTGTTTGTAGAAATCTTTGAACACAGATATTCATCTAGAGCTATAGTAAGTTCGATTAGAGCTAGATAATATCGAATAGACTAACATAAATTTTCTTTAGCCAAGTTCACCAATTATTGAAATGCCTATTTATGTTCAAAGAATCGAACAGCCAATCGTTTTCGGAAGACGTCCACCTGTATCTATTGAAGTAAGCCTATTGCAAGATGATTTACTACAAAGAATTCGAATACAAAGAAAAAAGAAGAAGACTATTTTAACGTATTACGTAAACTTTCAATCTGTTGATATGAAGTCGTTCTATAATATGTGCATAAAAATAAATAACCAAAAATATATTTTTTTTATCTATGATAGATTCAAGAGCCAACAATACATATAATATCTTCATCGATCGTTGTAAGTATACATTAAAGATCTTTTTTTTCTTCTTACTATTCATTTTTGCATAGTCACCACCAGTTAAAGTGATAGATCCAGTGGTTCGTCCATTGATTCTCTCTGTTCAAAGAAATACAGAAATGTGCAGTTGTCAATGTCCAACCAGTGGCTTCGTACCAATAGTTTATAATAGCCGCCAACAAAGTTGTACAATTGGTGCAATGCGAAAACGCTGAGATCGTCATTTCAATTCGAATGACTGAATTTTAATTTAATTTTTCTTGTTTTATATAACTCGGATGATTATCGATTGTATGTTGTTGTTCTGTTTTTTGATATTAAGAATCTATCAAGAAAAGAAGTGCGCTGTTTGCCAGACGGATGCATTCTCATATAGAGTCTAGAAATCTTTTTTTAGTTGCTGTCACTATTCGAATTATTGGTTTCATCAATATTAAGTCTTTTTCTAGTAGAGAATACCATATCATCTAGGTCAATAATAACTTTCAAGTTGTGTAAAATATTTATCTTAATGATTATATGGTTGAAAAACAATTTTAGGATAAATATTTCTAAGCTGTGATCAATTCTTGCTGTCGACCAATTACATGTAACTTACGTAAGTAGTCAAAATGGAACTATATTGAATCAACACGATCTACCGCCTGTAACACAATGAACATTTGGTGCAAGTAAAAATGTTTTGTTTATGAATAATTTTATCACTTGCATGTCATGTTCTTAGCGCTCGACTATTTTCATCAGAGAAAAGTTTGTGTGAGAACCAGCAGATGTTTAACATTACTCTGTAGAAAGAACACGTCGTTTTTTTCATTTTTTACTAGAATAAAAATGACTGTCCTTCTGTTTATGATAGCTCTTCTTGTCAATACGAATCAGGCGGTCACTTACCGACCGGTAGTATTGATGCATGGCATTTTGGCAACAGCCGACGATATGTATGAACTTGGCGGTTGGCTTAATTCATCATTTCCGGGTATTTACGTTGTTTCAATTGAAATTGGCAATGGATATGACGATTCATTTTTATTACCAATGAACAAACAAGTAGAACTTTTTTGTGCTAATATACTTGCTGATAAACATCTAAGCGAAGGTTTTAACATGCTTGGGATATCACAAGGTAGTTTAATTGTTAGAGCAGCCGTTGAACGATGCTCACTGCCTGTTTACAATTTGATTACCATGGTCGGTATTCATCAAGGTCTCTTTGGTGATGCTCTTTTTAAGTTGCTTCCTGTTCGATTTTGGGAATTGATTTCAAAATATGCATACGAAGATTTCGTTCAAAATACGATTAGTGTTGCAGGTTTTTGGCGTGATCCTTTTCAATTGGAAAAATACATGAATGCAAGTCATTTTCTTCCTGACATAAACAATGAACGTAAAATTCGGAATGAAACCTATCGTACGAATATGCTCAAGTTAAATGGATTTGTCATGGTCTATTCAGATAAAGATGAAATATTAACGCCACCACAATCGGGCTGGTTTCTTGGCTATGCATCGGAATCGGTGGTACCTGAAACATGGAATCAGTCGCGCCAATACACAGAAGATCTTATCGGCATGCAAACATTACGTGAGCAAGGCAAATTGCACATGTTTACTTGCCATACACGCCACGAAGATACTGAACATGCTCCCAATAAAGAATTCTTTTTTCAAAATATTTTGCCATTTTTCAATAACACACTTTAGTAGATGTTGAAATTTTTAAGATGAAAATAAACTGAAAAGTGATCAATGTAATCTTCTGCTGAGACAGGGTATAGTTGTGGGTTTAGATGAAGAGAGAAAAGTCAGGAACACTCACATCCATCCTCACGATATTCCTCAATTCATTTTTACGTTCCTTCTAAAAAGCGTACTCCTCGCGAACGAATGACCGAAGAAATAAATAAATGATAATTAACTTTTTAAAAAGGTTGTATATCTTTACCAAAAATGTTGATTCATCTGTGTTCACGTCATTGTGAAAATCAAAAATATTTGATTGAATTTCATGTTCGAACACTTTTTTCATTCATTCGATGAAATCGACGAAGTTCTTCATAGAACAGAATCTCTTGGCGAAATTATGCTTTGCTAAATATTTTGCTTTTTTTGACATTGAAACAGCATAGAGCCGATACGATATTCACGTTTATTTCGTATGAAGAAAAACAAAACCTTATTTTGTTTAGCTTGTTCAAAAAGCGATGTCGAAAGTTCGATAGTTACAATGGCAAGTACGAAATAAAACCGATGAAAATCATCAGGTTATTTTCTCAATCACTATCTATTTTAACAGCAGAACATAAATCAAGGGGGGGGAAGCGATTTATGAGTTTCATGATTTTTCTGAGTTTAGCTGATTTAAAATGAGTTTGAGAAAACGAAAAATTTGCTAAACTAGCTAAAAACTATTCCAAATCATAAATTATTACTGAAAATCATTCAAAGGCACCGAAACTCACGCAAACTCATTCCAATACAGTTAATTTATATTGATTGTAAGTTGAGTTTTACTGTGATTTAAATCAGCTTTTCCCCCCTTGACATAAATCATGATCGACGTCCGATTTACTTCTCAAATTTCATATTTTTAGATATCTTATGATCACACCCGTACATCGCATAAAACAACTCTATTCATATTTGAAAGAAGAAAGAAATAATACCCAAATACCTTTCGGTGTAGGGTGAGACAAAAAACAAAATTATGTGCGTTCACGCACTTGTTTAGTGTCTTTTCGTTAGCAGTTTATGTTTAAAATCCAATTGACAGGTTGCTAGCCTAAAAACCAGACGGCTGGCTACTGGCAGTCCAGGGTCGCCTCCTGCGTCTGTCGAAACATCTGCAGGCCCCTGTAGAAGTTCGAGAACTCCCCCAGCAGGCGAATTCATATTTGACAGCAATAAATCCGAGTGCTACTTTTGTATTTATTATAACAGGTCATCCATTTCATTGGTTGCTCAATGCTATTCTACTCATATCTTTGTGCAAAACAAGAATGAAGTTTTAGCTTGATTTATATATGTGAATGAATGAAGAAAGCCCAATAGTTATAAATGAGCAAGTCTTTTATAATTCTTAGATTTCATAGCTAGTTATCAGTAAAATAAACTGTAAAATGAAAAATCATTTATTTCTTTTATTTTTCATCAAATAAAAATAGTTTTTTCATCAAATAAAAATAGTTTTTTCATCAAATAAAAATAGTTTTTTCATCAAATAAAAATAGTTTTTTCCTTGTTACAACTTTTCAATACGATTGTATTTTTATCTGTCTTCATTCATAACAGTGGCGGTTCCACCAGTTCGGCTGCCCGGTCATCGCCACGCCCCTGAGGATAGAGTGTCGGCGATTGTTTTTAAATGTTCCTATGCATCAACGCAATATATAGTAGATATTACAATAGGATCTTTAGTCAAAAGATGTCAAACTCAAAGCTAAATTAGTATTATGGAAAAAAAGATGCACAGATATTGTTACAGGAGATATAGTTTCACTACACTATCACATTCTTCGGCCAACAATACGAATACAATCGACATGAAACGTAAAGAACATCATGGACTTCTCGTGTCCGAGAGTGGGAAACCGATGAGAAGCCTATTGTTTCTGATAGACGAACTCAGTAGGATTCCATTGGTCGGACACTCCTACGAAATTCCTATAAAAACCTATCAGATATCACCATGTTCCTACGGGGCACGTCAGGTTCCAACACTAATAATCCCAAGAGATTTCCTACACTTGGTTCTTATCGGATCCTCTCAATTCCAATTGGATCTCGAAGGACCCGATCGAAAAACAGTATTATATACTTCAGTGAAGACTATTCGACGATACCATGGTAGCCCACACAACATCTATAGAATAAGAAATTAAAAAATATATTGCAGCTACTAATTTGAACAATAGACCCAAAGGATGAGTATACAATTTAGTACACTATAAAAAATTGAGTCAAAAATACAATTGAAACAAATTCAGCAAAACCGACAAAACTAAAAGGTTCTTCCCTTGTATCCACCTGAAATACGTGTCTACCGGTTGTCTCAAAAAACATAAAAACCTTTTTGAAATGACCCATGCGACCTGACCAGATATCTCACCGAAGCCACTACTCCTTCATGTCAAGTAAAAAACTAGTTACGGTTTTATCCAAAACCATAAAAGATTACTCCCAACGTCACACCGAGAGATTATGTGCTTTTTGAAAGTCAATACGATTGTACAGGCCATCCCCGTTTACCCCCTCCATTTCCAACTTGCAACATCACGAGCCTTCACTTGCTTCGAGATGCTCGGGAATCATGAAAATATCTTCTCTTCAACATTCATCACAGCAGCATTTCTGCCGAACCTATTGCAGCCCCGAAACAACAATGCACACACACCGCCTTATAATTGCTTTTAAATCTCACAACTATTCTAGCTAACTGGGGATACCGCGCTGTTTCAGGAGCACTATTTTATCATAGATTCAAAAAACTTTTATTTCAAAATAAAATCAGCGCTGTTTCAGCAGCAGTTGCATTACTCAGATTCGAATGTCCAGCTTTTTCTTTGTTACGCTCTTGATTAGGAAGGCGAAGTTGATGTGATTGATTTTATTTAATGGAAGTATATTTCTGAGAAATGTAGTAATGAATTCTCTTCATGCATTTGGTTTCTTTTTCTGCATATTTTGATATCCATTGTGTTCGCTGATAGTTCGTGTAGTTTTTGTGGAATTGTAAGTGACATTGTATTTTTCGGAATGATTTAGAAGGAGTCGTATCAGTTGAGTGATTCTATGACCGAAAAGGAACTTCTAAGTTGCGTATAGACGAGTCTGGCTATTTCCACAGAGACCGATCGGATCCGACTGGAAGCTTATTTGAATCCTAGTGCTGGAAGTTCTATCGGTTACTGCAGTCGTATATCATTGGATATTCATCGGAATCCGACTCTCGGATCGGCTACTGATTCCTCAACCAGGAATCCCATTGGGTATTGTCGGCGGGTTGGATCCCATCAGATTCAATGCGACCCAACATCGGATTCATTCACCTGGGCGATACAATAATTGATTCTTATGTTGCGTGTCCTGAGATATTTTATCCGAATATAAAATTTTTATTCAAAATCTTTGCAACTCTACCAGTAACACCAGTAACTACAGAGAGAACATTTTCTATCCTCGAGTTACTGAAGATTTATTCACGCTAGACTATGTCTAAAACAAGGCTTAATGACTTAGCGATGATGTATATTTATCGAGATATGACTGTAAATATTGTTGCAGTGATTGATGAATTTGCAAAATCCAATTGTCGACTGGCTTTTTACTCTATTACTGAAGTTTGTCTCGAAAACAGTTGTTTTGGTTTCATGAATTTAGTGATTTACTATATAAAAACGAAATAAAGAATTGCGAAAAATTAAACACACATTTTTAAATAATTCATGAAAATTCATACTAACTTGAGCGAAAAAAAATTCGAAAACCCTAGATCCACCACTGGCGTGCCAATAGCATTACTTTCATTTTGAAGCTATGGATTAGTTGGAATTGATAATTGCTCAGGCACGATCGATGATGATTCTTGTTTTTTTGCTTTGAATAATTTATTAATAAATACAACCATTCTTTCAGTGCAAGACAAAAAGTTCTGGAAATTCACCAGTGATGTTATATTGTAGTATGACGTTATATTTTTCATGTGCTCATGTCTACGGATCACAGCACTGATGAGGATCTCAAAGTTTGAATGTGAGTGTGATTAAATAAGAGGCAAGCACCTACATCCTACTGCAGTTTGTAAAAATGTAAGATATATAAGGATTTTAGCATTTGTAACTACGCTAAGTCATGACACTCATGGGTCACACTGAGTACTCACCTTCACCTGTCTTTTTACATTGTCGAAATGAAGATTTATTAAATATAAACTAACCATTTTCATAGATAAAATATAGCAGATTCAAAGTGAGAAAACCACAACAACAACAACAAAACATAGATTGACAGCAATGAACAACGAACTTGGAATAATATACAATTTTAAAGTGGGTAACATTTTTAATCTCGATAACATATACTAGAGAAAAAAAAATGTAATGGTGCAAGAATCTGATAGAGATACAGAATGATTTTCTTGGTTCGATCAATTCTAAAAAATGATTAGAAATTATTTTTTCTGACAAAGAGAAGTAGTTTCTTGTCAATAAAATCAGTTACTTTTTCGAATTCTTCATCAATATCACTTTTAGTAAAAAATATTTCTTTAAAATCGGAAGAAACTCTGTGGCTAAAACAACTAGTGTTCAATAAGAGATCAAAAACATATTTTTCACTCTTCCACAGCTGATTTTCGACGTGATCTAAGATATTATCGATAAGTGGAATCCTTTGATGCACTTCCAACAAAGATATCATATGATTTTCGGCAAGATATTTTAGTATCCATAAAGAACATTTGAATTTTCTATCATAAAGTTTCAAATCTAAAACTTGAAACAATTGGTCAATTAAACCTCGATCAACCTCTTTGATATTGCTCAAATTTGGGCCTGCTTCAATTCCAAAAAAACAATCATCTGCATACTCTTCGCACATTTCAACTAAATCGATTGTGAGGATACCAAAATCCGCATAAAATTTTATGAATGATTCACTGGAATGTGGATACTTTTTGCAAGAAAGATAAAGTTCTCTTTTGAACTTTTCTTCACCAAAGAAACTTCTTTGAATAGCGTCTCGAAATTCATTCAAATTACTTTCTATGATTTCTGCTGCTAGGAAGATATAATTAGGTGTAGAATCAGAAACATAGTCAAGCTTGTCTCGGTTACAAAGATAATTGTATAGATCAACGACAAACAAATCAATAAGTTCAGTAGAATGTGCTTTTAAGTTATCAATGATTTCATCTGTAATTACGTTATGTGACGACTTCTGCATTGTATATAATGTTTGTTGTAACAATATTTGGTATCGCTTTTCGGATGTTATATTTGACTTGTTTCTGTACCATTTCAGTATTGTTAGACCGTTGATGTCGGAAGAATCGATGAAAAATAAACACAAAGTCGCTCTTATAGAACTCACTGCTGATGATGATCTTTCAGAAATACTAGTAAGAATATTTTTCATCTCATCTGATACAGTTCGACTCATTTCAAATTCGTGTAACCGAATTAAGCAATTACCATAAGCCACTAAACAGACAGCTAAAAGATCGTCTGAATATTTGTACGAAGAATAAATTAGTTTCTCCAATTCAATAATTATATCATCTTGAAAAACAATTGATTCGCATTTCCCAGCAAAATTATGGTATTTTCTAATAAGAGCATTGACAATTACCTTGCAAATCAGAGGAAATCGTTTCACATCTATAATTGCAAGCATGTACTTGTATAATTCTATGAAAAACTCATCGTTATAATACGAAGTTAAATTTTTATACATCCATTTGATAACAACAGCAAAATATTCATCTTTGATAGAATTTTCCAATTCAGATCGAAAATTTAAATATAGACGAAAATTCTCGACAAGATTAGGAGCCAAGTCATATGAACAACCACTAGCCATTGATAAAAATGAATTCAATGAAACATTAGAGGATCTAAGTACGTTTGAAGTAACTCTTTTCCGTTCTAAATCGAGAAATAATGCAAACGTTTCTTTACAAGAAATTTTAACAGAGATTTTCGAATAACAATTAACGTTTTCATGTAACATGATTAAAATTTGACGAACAGTATTTGAATTAGCAAGCCGAGAGTTAATCAGATTTTCTACAATTGATTCCAAACTACGTTTATCGCGAATACAAAACATTTCGTTGATGATATCGATTAAATCTGGAATAGTTGACTCTTCAATAAACAATTGCAATGCAGCATAGTGTGCTAAAACCTTCAAGACTTTATCTGTCCGATAGTCGAGCCATTTTTCAATCACTGCAAGAGCTTTTCTCTCAATCGTTAAGCATTCACACATATCTTGTGTTATTTGCAGAAGAATTTGTTTATCTATCATTTCCAAATTATTCGTAATCCATATTGCAAGATTGTATGTCATAGTTTTCTTAGCTTTTGATGATTCATTCCAAATTTTGTTTAACTCTTTCAAAGGTAAGATATCATTTTTCTTATCATCTCTTGCATACATACTGAGAATTTCAGTATCAAATATCAATTCAAATAGATACATTAAAGATAGAAGAATATTATTCGATGAACCAAATGATGTTGTTTTATTAAAATAACGATAGAATATTGCTGATTTCAATTGAAGTAGATCAACTAAGTTATCTTTTCGTTTAGCAAAATCTGATAAGCAATGTGAAAGATTCGAATCCTTGAATTGTCTCAATGCAACGAATACTGCTTCTTCAATTCGACTTTGTTTGTTAAGTGATTCATTACTAAATTTTTCAGCAATTGTACTCGTCATCTGTTGAGAACATAAATTGCGACATCGAAGAAGTAAAATAGTTCCTTTCAGTAATGAGACATGTGGTAGCAGAGACTGTAACTCAGCGGTCAATTCATCTTGCAAGCGATCTCTTTGATTTTCATCAAAGATTAACGGATCATTCATATCTAATACACAGCTCAAAGCAAAGATTCGTAAAAATGGATCAAATATATTTGTTATTGTAGAGTATACGGTTTTGCTCTCTGTAGACTTGATTAGATTAGTATTTATCGGATGGGATGGGCGACAACGGTGTTGAGCTTGTAAAAGTCGAGCAAGAGAAATCGATGCAGCAAATAGTCGCAGATCTTTCTGCTGACTTCGAATTGATTGTGTTGCTTCACGAATACGCTGATGCTCCACACTGATGAGTGATTTCAAATCTTCTGGTTGACAGTTAAGAAATGGATCAAGTAGTTTACGACTATGTATTGCTTTTAATAATTGATTACAATTCTTATCTACGGTTGACGTCAGCAAAGAACATTTTTCTTTGTAAAATATTAATGCATAGTTCTCGAGCATGTGTTCTTTCAACAAAGGATACAGCAGTAGTAAGGCAAGATAAATATTAAAATCAACGTTTTTAAAGTGTTCCAAATGGATTAAACATTCGGATAAAAACACAACTATTGAGAACGAATTAGTATTATTAGTTGATGAAATTATTGCATCGTAATACAATTGCTGTAGAGATTGTGGTAGAATATTAAGTAACAACATCAATTTTTGATGCGTCATTTCTTGTGTATGAATACTTATTTTCATTTCATCTAGGTTTTCTTCGCTAAACAAATTCTCAAATCCAGATTGATGGTGAAAATGTTTGCCATCCTCGTTGCCATAACAATCATCTCTGTTGATCCATACAGAGTGATTCCACATTCCTAGCTTTTCCAATGCCGATGCGCATGCCATTAAAAATGATGTTCGTTGTTCATCGGACTGATCAAGTCGTAACAAGGACTCGTCGATAATTGATTGAACTTCAGATTGTATGAAAGATATGCTATGTAATTTGTCATTACCAGATAAACAGCTATTAAATGATTTTTTGATATAGAACCATGTCCGTTTTAATCTACCAAGTGCCACTGATAAAGCTTTATGCCTATCATGCTTTTGATAAATCAATGGTTGCAAGAGTCCTTGCAAACAAATTAAAACGATAAAACTATCGACAACATTACTTGAACTATCCGACGGTAAACATTTTTCAATAATACTTTCATATTGTTGAATGAGTTTGTCGATTTTCATTGAATGAGATTCATTAATATTAGCGAAATATTCAATAATCGGTGTTAAGATTGACGATTGGTGATGTATCTGTTGTATTGAAAAATCGATTTTGATTATTCCTTTCTCTTCTCTAAAACATACTCCATCGCATACACCAATAATGGCAGAAATAATTAAAGGATGACTATCAGATATAGAAATGTTGTTTGACAGTAAATACAAAGATAAATCTTCGTTAAAGATTTGATCAGACATTCTAGTCGATCTCATTATTATTCGTAGGGTTTGATCGATGATCAATTCGGCTGATTCACTAATATTATGTAACAACCATAGTTGTTGATAAACAGCAGATGGCATCGATTTCTGCTTAGTTTCAATTTCATCCTTATGTGCCGCAGCATTTTGTAATAAACATCGACAAAAGTTAGAAAGACGTTTTTCATCTTTCAATTGCGTTTCCATCCATTCTATTATAATATTTTCATGTAATTTCAATAGAACCGACATTAAATATGTAGTTTTACTTGGATAATATGGATGATCAAGTAAAATGTTAAGTGCAATAAAGATGAGTGAACTTGAAGGTAATCTTTGAATATCATTGAAAGCTTCGAAAAAAAGAATTGTTCCAAATGGAATTGAGTATTGTGTCGATGAAGTAATAAGTAAATTACAGAACCTATCATAATTATTAGATGACCATCTCCAACTAATCCAACCAATAGCAAGAAGTAGTGATTCATGAAAACGAGGATGAATGGCGACTGTAAGAATACGTTTTGCAACCTCATCAGGCGAACCATGCACAAGTGAAAGTGCAACAAAATAATCTTGAAATGATAAATGAACAAATCCAAATACCTGTAAACCTCGTTCAGCGAAAATGCCAATGTTAAAGTCAAGTAATGGTATCAAATTACGGACGTATTTACGTAATTTTGTACGATCACATGATAGACCTTGTTGTTGCAAGGTTAAACAACATAGTTGTTTTATATCGTACTCGTCGATGAGACCAGATGGTGAATGGAAATGAAGATAACAAGCGAGATCGATCAAAAATTTAGTCAGTACTCTCTGCGAAATTTTCGATTCATGACTTTTCCAAGAATGCAGTGCTATTTGAACAGCATGATTATAAACTTCAACTCGAGATGTAGGGTTAAATTTATCGAGTGATTGAAAAGTAAATGTGCAAATCAAAGATAGCAAAGAAGGATTTGATACTAAATCGGAACTGTTTTTTAACAATGCTTTCAATACATTATATCGTTTCTTCGATAGAATTTCTACTAGTTCTCGATCAAGATTAATTCCTTCATCCAACGAAATTTCTAGTACAGCTTTATCAATTTGGGACAACCACCTTTTCACAAATTCCTTAGTTTCATTATAATCCATTAATAAAAATGCATAGTGACAGATGAAAGTACCAACAAGTGGATGCAGTTGATAACCGACAATACGACTCGTAATAATTAACTGATTACCACCAGGTACACTCGGCGGCTTCGTTTCAACAATGTTACGATAACCATGGGATAACGATAACAATGTCCCATGAAACATTCTATCATCGAATGCCGAGATAAAATCAGGTCCACGCACATATTTATCAACAAATTTCCTCACAAGGTCAACAATCTCTCCTTTTTGTCTGGCATCAGTAATTTCATCAAGTCCATCTAGAAGAATCAATGCATGACCATGAGCTATCAATTCTTTCAAAACATTTTTATTGTCATCAGGACAATAACGTTTTGAATCCCATGTATGCTCTCCAACATAATCTATTAGTGTCTTTGTTGGATATTTCTTAAGCCACATTGCAAATTCACCAATTCGAATCAAAATAGGAACACGAACTGGAATAGAATCATCTCCTTCTAAAACTATTCGCTCTTGAGCATTAAGAATTGATTCAGCAAAAACACATGTGATCCATCTAAGGAGACTAGTTTTTCCACTACCTGGATCTCCTAATACAATAGTCCATCGATTACATAGAAGTATATTGGTAATGTGCTCGACAGTATCACTCCTATTTATTTTTATTTGTTCGACTGAAGGTAAAAAGGTGCTAAAATTACTATTGGGTCCCTTATGTGAGTTATCATTTTTAGAAAACTGGGAAGTTAAATTTTGGAATTTTCTATTTGTGCAGTCGAAATCTATCTCAATACATTTTAATTTTTTATTAAGACACTGTAGACTTTCTGAATTGATCGAACTTTCTTTTAATTCGTAAATTGTACAAAGAGCATCATTAATATTCTCTATCAAACCGTGCACCTTTACTTTTGAATGGAGAGAAATGCATGCCAGAAGATATTTTTCGAAAAACTTCTGATGCTCACAAAATAGTTGATTCAAACTTTTCTGTTCATTTATTTCAAGGTAAAATTGTGACTCGCGGCGTTCTAGTTCTTTTTCGAAATTTATGATTCTTTTAAAATGATTCCAACCTCTACCCATACCTTGCTCACCATTTGTTTCCTCCTGTAGATAAAGGATGTCATCATGATATTGAACCCAAATTTTGTTTAAGATTGAATGATTATAATTTGTGAATCTATTTAACTGTCGACAAATCAATCGAGCCCATTCTTTTCTTGGTGAGTTCGAATTAATAAATGGAATAAGAGTGTTGAAAATATCGATTAGTTGAGATCTACCACAGTCTGTAAGCAAATGTTCTGGTGGTGTCTTCAGTATTTTATGAATTGAATTTACTGCGTGTTCAATCTCATTCATAACTATTCTTTTGGTATAAGTATGATGGAATGAAACAAATTAGAAATTGATTGTGCTATATTAAGAGTAAAAAGTATATTTTAAAGTATTATACTGTAGTGAGTACTCTACTTAATTTTATTTCAATCTTTGAATTTAGATAATATCATTTTGTTTGCTTTGTCCAAAGAATCAGCAACTCTGAAAATGAAGAATATTTTAACTATTTCTAGTACTTCTATTAATATTATCCATAATATAATGCTTAACTACTTTTGTAAAACGCCCACGGAAAACTTTTTAAAGAAAAAACCTGGTTTCATCAAGAATAGCCGTGGCTTCATTTTGCTAGTCCCATCAAACCGCTGTTTTTGGAAAAATATTTTCCGCGAATGTAGGTGTGGATGTGCTTGATTGTGGGTAGGGATATAACGATGGCGATCATTCACCGGTATACCATCACTATTTTATCAGTCTAAAACGATAATTGTACCTACGATCAACAACTATTGTCACCATTGTATCCCTAGGTGTGGGTTGGTGTTGATCTTCTCCTCTTTCACATCCACACCCACACCCTACCGTGTCTCTTAGAACAAGTGGTCGAAGTAAGAGTATAACTATTGGAAGAGAAGAACACCAAACTAAGTTATTCGATTATTCATCTTATAAAAAGGAACGACGACTTTCAGAATGAATCAGTGATGAAAGAGAAAAATCGAACAAAACTAACCTTGTAGATTTTCTCAGAGAAACGACGAGCACTACTCGGAGTAACCAAACGAGGAAAGAAACAGAGACTGTTTTTTATTCTGTAAATCTTCGGTAACTATCGGAATAAAAAGTAAAATAAAAAAAGAAATAAAGTAAACTAGCTTTCTTGTTTTTAATGCTGGGTTTTTCTGAGAAAAATGACGAGTGATACATGGCGAACAGTCAACTGAAGAAAAGAACAGGAAACTATTTTTTTTACATTTTGCTTTTCTAAAATCTTCTGCGACTATTGGCATCGATGAAATTTAAAAAAAGAAATAAAGAAAACTAGATTCTTCTGCTTTTCTATTAAAAAACAGTCAAACTATTGATGCGATTAGACGAAGAGTAGTGAAGTAAATTAGCGTCTGTTTTTTCGATAAAGTTAACGATCACTATGAACGTAAGTAAGTGAAGAAGGGCGAAACACTGTATATAGTACTGCGTTGTAAGTTTTCTTCATTTATTTTTCATGCGGTATGAAGCACTGCATTTATTTATGGCTTCGTGAGGTTTCTTTTTTCTTAAGATGCAAAGTACTTTATAATACCACTTCGAGAGTTTTCTGTGTTTCTTACTTTATATATTTATTTCTAGCCAGACGCACACAAGTGAACTTGAAGTTGTGTCGAAATGTTCTTGAGAAAGAAAAGCCAGAAAATAGTTCTTCAAACGTTAATCGAAAATGTCCTGATCGAACCTGAATCACTTGGTTTTCATTCTTGTGTACAATGTGTTGTTTGCCTACAAAAATAGTTCTTAAAACACAAATTTTTGAGGACTTCGCCTATTTTAGCCCCTAGATAATTACAACTAGAGCGCATCTCGACTTTCCGAGAATGCGCCATAATCTGCAAAGCACAAATATCGCTTATTAGAAATTTTGAAAAAAAGAAGTAAATACGTATAGGTAAGGTTTATCATAAAAAGAGTTTTATCATAGATGAACATTCATATTTTTCTCAAGTCATAAGGAGTTCGCAAAGCAGAACTCCTCAGTTTATGGCGGCGAGAACCCTATGCGCATGTGTCATATCTTTCTAAAATAAGATACAGGCTGATTGGTTAATCAACTAAACAGAAAAGTAATTTATGAATATGCAACGGGACACAAATCCTTTTTGTTCGTATATGACGAACATAATAGACGGTTTTTCAGTTAATGATTTGGAAAAAGGGCTTATCATGTATTTCAAAAACGGAAAAAATATGTATGTCCTGTTTCAAATTCGCAAAGCCTTCTTTTACAGTGCAGAATCAAGATGATTACTTATCTATCAACAGTCGCAATCTCACCTGTGCTACATATGATCAAAGAAGGCAACCGCTAACTTTTCTAGTCTAAATCCTCGTAAATTTGTGTTTTTAAAATTCTTTTTGTGTAAGCAAACAAAATATCGTACACAAGATTGAAAACTAAGTGATTTCAATTGGATCTCCATAGGTTTCCTTAACTTGCAAAGCACTACTTCCTGAGTTTCCGTCTGGAGATTATTGCGACACAAAACCTCAGCGTCGCTTGCATATGCCTAATTATATATGACAATCTAAAGAAACTACTGTAGATGTTATCCAAGTTTCATTCAAATACTAAATTCAGTGCAAAAAAAGAATCTCGAGCTTCGGAAAATAGGACGTCTAATAAAAACAAATTAAACTTTCCCACGTTTTATCATGCATCATCATTCTTAAAAACTTTTTCATTTTTCAAAGCGTTTATCCTTTTCTGTTATAAGTGCAGCAACAAAAAAGTTGTGTTTCAATCATTTGAATGATCAAATTTAGTATAAGCATGAGAAGGACCCATACTAAGGTTTTACTACTTATGGAAGTTCTCTCTCAACACCTATTGGTAAACTTTTATAGAACTTTGTTGATCGGCCATGTAATTATATATATAGCGTATTGCCCTTAAGCAGACGTGTTAGCCACTTTCTGATTCATGCAAGATGAGAGCGTGTATGGATGTCAATCAAATACCACATACTATGCTCACATCGGCATCCAGCTAAATAAAAATTTATGCGAGACATTCCTATATTTTTTTAAAACATCTTAGTCAAATGTTGATTATAGGCTGTTTCTCTACAGATTTTCATGTCACATGTGATTAAAATGTGAGATTTAGCTGCCAAGATCGAAAAAGCACTGTCGTTTATGACCGTATACAGAGAAATCCATGGCTCAGTATTACAATCGTATATCGTCGTGTCGTATACGGAGAAATATGACTATATGCGGAGAGAAAAAAGATCGTTTACGATCCCCGTTTTGTTCCGGATTTTGCCGCATATGGTAGTTTTTCTCCGTATACGACACGGTGATATACGACCGTAATAGTGAGCCATGTGTTACGTCTCAATGCGATCGTGTATGGAGACAAACAGAACATATACGGCAGTTTACGAGCGTATAAAAACTCCGGATACCTAGAGTTGGGAGTATCAGTCTTCTATTGTAATAATAATAATAATAATAATAATATCTCCCATAGGCTTATCGCCCGTTGGGGCCGGCGCTAAAGGGCCCACAAGCAGCCAGGTTCTTTCGTTTTTTTCTCTTTTCCAGACGCCGGTATCTGCACCCCATTCGTCCAACGCTTCCCCCGTTAGTGATTATGGGTTGACGGTCATCATAGGATCACGCGGCCGCGACATCTATGTTGAAGTTTTGTTTTGACTCTGCACACTGACAATGATATAGTCGATACGCTATCGGATATGAGTTATCCGACACACTTCTTTTGTAAGGCAGGTGAATATTTTTAGTAAACATTTCTGCCACTCTGAATCACAATTAGATGAAAAACACAGAGAAATATGCGAAATACATTCATGACGAAACCACTACTTGATATCGGAGGTTTCTTTTTTAATTCTCTGAGCTACCATTTGTTTAATAAATACTGCAGGAATATAAGCCCAATGTGTCAGTTAACTTCTTGTCTCAGAAAGTTATTGTCCGTGTGTTAAATAGAGAAATCGTCTGCATCGTATGCCATGAAATACTTAACGTGCTGTTTGTCTTCAACGTTGACACCATTTCGATAATTTATTTCAGAGTTCCAAGAGAAAGTAGGTATACATTTCTGGCAAGAAAACTCTAACAGATCAAAACGTCATATTTACTATTTGTTCAAACAAAAAACGTCCTTTTCAATGTCAGCTAGCCTGAGTGCATTCTATGCGGCTTGTTGTATTAATGATTTGAAAACCGTTCAAGCGACTGCTAACCGTAATGAAGTCGATGCCAGTGGACCTGATGGCAACACACCCCTGCACGCTGCATCCAAAAATGGTCACGTCGAAGTTGTCCGACTTCTATTGCGATATCACGCATCTCGTACAGCCGTTAACCATGAAGAACTTACTGCCGAAGAATTAGCATGCAACGAAGAGACTAAAGCAGTATTCAAGGACTCAGCACAAATGATCTCGGATTCGAACCACTTCGTTGCTTCATCACGCGAAGTTGAATGGGTTGATTCGTATAAGAATGCCTACCGGATCTCGTACGAGAACCATGAACACATGAAACGATGGCTAACGAAGGTTACTCTAAGCAAACTACTCAACGCAATTATCACTGACTATATTGACAAACTCAATTTTGCATTTGAAAAAACTCGTGAAACCATCAAAGAGTATGTGTCCTATACGATTGACCTAGATGATCCCCTTGGACTATTACTTGCATACACGCATCCATGTGGTGATTTCTTTCTTTTGCTAAATCGTAATTTAGCCGAATTCGGCTCCGACTTTCGTTTTACCAGCACGCAAGCTTTACTTGATTCAGGTTATGCTGACAATGAACCACCAAAAGGTCTTGGTCAATATATTTTTGCTTCTATCGTCATTAATCATCCTCGTTTCCGTCCATACCAGTATGCTGGCACCACTTATCGTGGAATGAAAATTACTAAGGAAGATCTTGAAGAATACAATAATAATAATATTATTATGACTCGTTCATTTCTTTCAACATCAAAAAAGCGATCTACTGCCGAACTATTTCTTCATTTCCAAGATGACATGACTCATCCGACAGTTATATGCATTTATAAAGTAATTAATCAAAGATCAAGCCTTGCAATCGAAAACATAAGTATGATCAAGGAGGAGAACGAAGTGTTGATCGTTCCGTTCACTGTTTTTCAAGTGAAAGAACAACGCGATAGGCAGTGGACTAATAATTGTAAAATCTATCGTTATAAAGAAATCAAATTGGAAGAATGTACTTCAGTATGAATTCATTAATTTTTTCAAGAGCTTCAGACTGATTTCATGTTAATAAAGAAAACGATCTTGTAGTCATTCCACAAATAATGATTATAACTTTTTACCACTCACTTTTACTCTCAAGCAATCATGTCTATATTTCGAATCCAAATGATTACTCATTTGATGAATATTGCCTTGTTTGTTTGTCACATGCGAGATACACTGACTATCTTCGTGTATCTGGGTGTGACTGTCGGAGATGAGGGTACTGGTTAAGAAAAACAGTGTACCCACATCCTCAAGATCTGTTCAAAGAAATACAGAAATGTAAAATTGGCAATGTTCAAACAGTGGATTCGTACCAATAATTTCTTATAACCATCAGCAAAATTATACAATTGGGAAGATGCGAAAAACGGAGATCTTCATTTCAATCCAAACAACTAAATTTTAATTCTGTTTTCTTGTTTCATAAAAGTTTAATGGTTATCACATATAGTATCTTGTTGTTTTTTCTTGCTTTGATATGAAGATTATAAAAAGAAAAAGTACGGTGTTCACAAGAAGGATGCATTCTTTTAATTTTTGTTGCCATTCAAATTATTGATTTCATCGATATGAAGTTTATTGAAGTAGAAAAGAACATTTAATTTAATAGAATAGACCTATCACCTAGGTCAATAATAACTTTCAAGTAATGTGAAATATCGATTTCAACGATTATATAGTAGAAAGACAATTTTAAGATAAAATATTTCTGTTTTGTGATCAGTTCTTCGTAGTATCGATTAATTAGATCTAACTTAAACAATTTAAAATTAAATCATTTCTTCAGGAGCATACATTAATAGTATTGGCTGCTACATCTAATGAATAATAATGAATATTGATCAGTTTTACTATTTTAATTTCTCTTATGAATTTGAATGGTGCGTAAATACTAGCATTGGTGGATTCAATAAGTGAAATGAACCCCTCTGACTGTTTGAACTTTTCAAAAGTCGAATAAACACTCTTTCATAAATTATATCGGATAAATATGTTGAGAAGTTAAAAAGAAACTTCTTTGTCTGCATGTACTCTTGTGTTATTACTTCAAGATAACATGTTGGTGATCAAGAAAGTAAAATTTTTCGACAAAAACACATCTGTAGTTTCTTGCTGATATTAATTAAAAACGTGTGTCCTCAAAAGAGAATAGAAGGCAAAAAACATTAAATAAAACAAATGTTTTTCATTTATTTTAACAAATTGTATCAAAACGCTTGTTTTTAAATACTTTTAACCACTTTACAAACCTATATCATGCTCTCCGTATTATCCAACAGGGTAGTCTTTCTGATCGCTCTCTGCTATCTGTCTATTCATTTTCAAGTTCAAGCACAAGGTAAATGATCTATATAATGTAATGTCATTCTTGTTACACTCAGCATAGAATCCAATTTTAATCAAAACAAACATGAGACTGAAATAGATCCACCATCTATTCCAGTTCATAATGGTACTGACGAAAGCTTTCTTTTTTAAGATTTCGTATAAATATTTTATTAATTATTTTTCCAGATACCAGCCGAGATAATGAAGGTGCAGATCATGATTCCTATCCATTGCGAAATAATGGACGAGGATCTCATGAAGCTAACTCTCAAAGTAAATATCTCAAGTAGATAAATACGAAATGTGTTCGCTTTGTTTTGTTTTAAACAATTTTAGATTATGCTGCTGAAACCAATGGAACACATGGCATACCCATGGACGAATTCGAACAAATAATTCTCGATCAACATAATAGATATCGTCGACAAATGTGTGCTAATGATCTTGAAGAAGATGATAATTTACATGAAAAAGCTCATAAACGTGCACATACTCTCGCCAATGGGCAAGATATACAATTATCGGATGATTTTAGCGAGAATGTTTATATACTTGATACAGCTGATCCATCAAAAATAACCGGTGAGAATTATCAATCATATTTTGCTTTTCATTTTTTATCTATTTCCTAACTAGGCGAAATTATTGTTAAAGCTTGGTACGATGAATATCATCAATATAATGTTAAAAATGAATCTTCAGCTATACATTTTTCACAACTTGTATGGAAAAATTCTAAAAAGCTAGGCGTCGGTCATGCTTATACAGGACATACATTATATATTGTGGCTTTTTATAAGCCTCCTGGAAATATTCGTGGTCAATTCGATATAAATGTTGGCTGTAATTCTAGTAATGAGCAAAATCCAACGAAAAGATAATCATAGGTCGAATAATTCAGATGAAAAAAAAACGATTGAGACGTTTGGAAATAAATATGTTTGCTTGTAACTTGTCGTGTGTTTTCTAATTTTATTTCCTGTACACAATCATCATTCAACTTTATTGATATATGAAAAATCGAAATAAATGGTATCGCGTACGTAAGATATAGCACATATCTATTGAAGAAAGTACTGTTTAGAACTTGCAGGATTTCACTTGAAACATATTGACTGCGAAGTTTTAAGTCAAGATAAATCTTTAGTAGCTATATCAAATCTATACAAGTAAAATAATAAGAAAACTGATTGATTCGTTTTGAAAACCTAAGTAGCTAACACTTAGACGAAGAATAGAATCAATCGACATTGTAAATAAAATTTATAGCAGAAAGATATTTCAGACTAACCTTATATGAATAGAAAATAATCGATGAAATCAAGTTTGATTTAGGTTCTTGTCAGCTATAAAATATTTCTACATAACTTATCTTACATGCAGACATATTTTTATAACTGAAATCTTCCTAAATATCTAATCGAAAGAAGCAATATTGATTCATAGTTTGAAAAAATTGATATGAACAAGATGGGAACAGAAACGAACGAGAGAAATCGTTTTAGGACAAGCCTTTGACGTAAAAAAGAAGAAAAGAAAGAAAAGTCATGGGGAATATTATTCATGGGTTATAAAATATCCTATTCAGGTCGATTAAATCAACATTATTTTTCTTGCCGGATACACACGAAAGAAATTTTATACGAATCCCATATAGATTTATTTCTATTGACTCATATATTAACTTCAACATAAGATGATGCCACAAGAAGTTATGCACACCTACAACACATCAATAAAACAAAATGGATTTGTTACTAGATAACAGACATAATAGTTTTATATACATACCAATGTCCTGTCTGTATTTGGTATCAATCAATCGAACAAAATACAGATGTCATAAAGAAGATGTGGCGGTGGTGTGCATTTTTATTAATTACAGAAAAATAGCGAACATATTGATCTAGATACAGACGCTGACATGTTGTTATTTGTTATAAATTATAAAGAAGATTAATTAATTATATCGGCGATGAACTTTCATTATAAATTGATGCGTGCATTTTGTTTTTGAAAAACACTTGATTTAGATAGTCTGCATTTATGATGAATGATTTTAATAAAATTTTGCTTCCGATATCTTTATCTACCTTAACCGTTGTTCAAAGTTATGCGCAGTATTTACAATAGCTCACAAAGAAACTGTTCGTTCTGCCTTCAGTATCTTAATATAATGTATAAAAAATATCAATAATAAATGTACATTGAAATTTAGGCGAAGTTCGTTGAACTACAACGAGGAGAAATCGAAAGACTTTACGTCAATAAACATTTTTGGCGATATCTTCGAGAAGAAGACTGAAATTCTATTTGGTGACAAATAAGATCTTATTTTGAAATCATAGATTTTCGAACCAGCATGAATGCTACAGCAACGCTAGCTTTTCGTATATCCACCAAGGTCATTTCTTTGATTTATTTTCTTGCTTTTTAACTAGTTGACTATTAAAATAATTTAATGAAATGAACGGTAAAATATACGTCACTTGAACCAATTTACTTTACACTATCTGTTCAAACTAATAATTATTATCGTATTCACAATGATTTCATAATTCCTATTGTAAAATAGCAATATATGTGAACGTTATTTAGACATTGTTTAAACTGTGGAGTGTAATAAGATTCTGTTCAATAGAGTAGTTCATCAATTTTTCTGATGAAAAGAAGAATAGGAAATTAAAGATCGAATTTCTAAATGAATATCCGTTGAGATTATGTGAACTCACTCCCGGCTTCGCTTTGCTATTGAACACAGAACCTTCAAGGTTGCGAGTTTGAATTATTTTGTAAATCCATTGAAAATTACTCCGATAGAAATATATTTCATGAGTCCGTCTAGTATTGCATCTCGATCAATGTCCCAGTTCGTTTCAAAATAAACACGCAAGTCCTCAAAATTCAATATATATATAACTTGAGTAAGGCATCGAATTCTCAGAAATACACAATGCTGTTGATTGCAGGTTCTTTTTAGATGTAACGTTCATATTTGTAATCAAAAACAATGCATTCATAGTTTGTAAGAAGTAGCATTGCTCGATCGATACGGTTAGAGTCTGATCAGAGAATATAAAATGATTTATCTGAATTATAAATACACAATACAAATTCTGTTCAGAATTTAACAGTAGCCTTTCTATATTGTCTATTAGGGTCTTCTCTGCCAAGATGAAGCTGAACATAATATAAGAGTCAAACTTAGATGTTACTCTCAAAACGAATCAACTGTAGCGTTCTTCTGTTTTCTGGCATTGCATAAGAGCTCAATTCATTTGATAGCTTTTAAAATGTTGTAAATCATTTGGACTTGAGAAAATCTCTAATATTTTTCATTAAACATTCATAGATACCATCAAGAACAGTTTTTTTGTTTTAGCAATTTTTTCTTACGTAGAAGACAATACTAAGTCCATATCTATAGGATTGAGACAATTTTTGCCAAGTCACAGAATGCTTTTCTTCATATCACATTGATGAGGTGAATTTGTTTTTCTGTGGATCTGTATAATATCTAATTTAAAATAATTGCCAGCGAACAAGATATTCAATCGCTTATTGTGCTATTATAAAAGAATTTTATATTTGACAGACTTTTGCTCACCATCAAGCGCCTACAAGTGATGCAAACCAATAACTATGATTTACTTGTCGTCCTATGGAAGAAAATAACTTATGAAGATTATTCTCCCTTTTGAAATCTCTTTGTTCTGTTTTTTTTAAAATGAATAACAATTGACATGCCTTGAATATATGCTCTCACTTTTTTGTCCCTCCTGCATTCTTTTATTCATCATCTTCTACTATCCGGTGAATAAGAGAAAAAACAGAGATGAACTCAAATTTTAAATATAGATGCTATCGAACGAATGCATTAGTAAATCTAATTTTACTATTGGCAACAAGAGAAATTATTTTCTTTCTATCATTTTTTATTGTCCTAGTTTCAGCGTTCTAGATAAATCGAGGATGTACACATCAACAATCGAATAGAAAAACTATTATTATAAAAACAAAATTCTGCATTTACCGAAACGTATAGGAATAGAGAATCTTTGCGAATACAAAAAATAAACAGTACAACTGATAAAACGAAATGTAAGTAGAGATTTTGAATTTAGGAATGAAGCATATTTTTCTTTGCTGACGTTTAGTAATACAGGAGAAACAACGAAATGATTCGATTATCACCCGATAGTTTCAGTCGTACAATTGCCTTTGTTGTAGTCGCTTTTGGTATAGTCGCTTTAGCATTAGCTTGTGTTGGTATTGGTACACCAAGGTGGTATTCGGCCTATGCCGTAACGGGTAGTGGAACTTATGCGAAAACGAACAGTGCAAACTTTTTCTATACATGCAATGTTTCGGCAAGTGGCGTAACCGATAGTTGTACAAATCGTGATGGCAATCTCTATGGTTATCCAGGATATAGTGCAGCAAATCCATGGATGACTGATTATAACCAACGTATGCAAAATGCCGGCGCTCTATGTATTGTCGGCATTCTCTTTCTTTTCTTGGGCACATTGGCTACGTTAATTATGGCAATTAATTATCTGCATGCATGGGCTACTCTCATTCCATCTGCACTACTCTTTCTTGCCTGCCTGTTCATGCTTGCAGGCATGGCTGAAGGTGCACGTTATCTTATCTATAACGATTATTCAGCTAATTTGTATCAAACAGCTCATTTACTTACGATGTTTGCCCTTGCTTTAAGTGCTTTTTCTGCCGGTCGTATTCATTTTTCGTGCCGAGCCGAAACTGGTAACAATATTGTTCGCAATACAACCTAGATGACCTTGACTAAATTGTCTATTCTTTGCTTTCGTTTGCTACATCTTTAAACATGCATTTTAGTTCTTCAATAAAATTCACTGGTAGAATTCTTAGATTGATAGTGTTTATAACGTCTCAAATGGTTTTGCTAGAAAATATACTAATAAAACTAATATTAGTAATACACGACAGATAAATATTATGCTAGATTGATATTGAAATTTTAGAAGATTTTTAGTTTAAGACGTAAACGAACAATATTTTCTTTTCACTTTCTCCTTCATCCTGTACTTTTTACATGCACATGATTGGCGACGTTCGCTGACAACCACTTGATCAAAAAATAATAGAAAGAAAAAGAAAATCATTGTCCAGAAAGTAACGCCAAATATGTTATTTTTTCTTCAAGGTTAACATAGTTGTTCAACAGAATCTATCAATCAAATATCAAGTCTACTTATTATTTTTATTGTCCATTAGTGCAATAAGTGCAATCTGTTTCTCAGCTAAAGGAATTAAGAATTATTTCATCATTTAAATTCTTGACACGAGCTGACAAACGACTTGAATCAAGTTCATTACAATAATGATTCAAAATGCTCAACATTAAATTTGTTTAGAAATTTTACTAATAATAACCAAAAATACTTTTCTCATATTGTCGCATTGTTAAAAAAATTAGCTGCAAATAATTCTTCTTAAACAGATAAACTCAAACTTGGATAAAGAAACAAAGCCGGATGAGAAAACAACTAACAAGCTGAATGTTCCATGAGCAGCACAATGAATATATTGGATATTTTAGTCGAAGAGCATACATATAATGTTATCAATAATATATTTTAGCTTCAATCGTTTCACATTTGCTCAAAAATGAATCGGTATTATTAACTATCATTATCAGATCGAATATCGACTAAAATTGAGCGTTGATTATTTATCAATATTCAGAGATCGTATTTATCATGTTAACAAATCTGCGTGACATTGGTTTCTTTTATATTTCTGTTGTGTTAAAACTCAAGGACCGACTAAGAAGTTTTTGTATGGCAAAATGATCGGAAATTAGATTAGTTGTATCTTATTTTTCTGAAGAAATGAATATTTTTTTTTTTGTATAAAATTTCAGTTACTAAAAATGTAGAAAATTAATAAACGCATGCCTGCTGCAAAAAAATAAGCCGACCTTCGTCTTGATATTGAAACAACTGCAATTCTCATTCTTTCCGTTGTGATAGCAGTGTTGAACAGGAATATAGATCATACTGAATCTTGTAAAATTTTCTGCTCAATCACGAAGGTCTGTCAACTGCATACTTGTTTCATGTCTCGTCTATAAAATATCTCTCGCAGACTCTATGAAATCTTCCATGAACTTGTCATCTGCATTTCATGGGAAATCTAGAAAAAACCTTATCGGCAAAGTTAAGCTAGTTCATCATGCCATATTAATTAATATGACTTTGTTATTTACCACAAGTCATTATATTTCTGTGATGTAATGAAAAACTTCCGAAACACGTGTTATTGATTGAACACGATTGCGGAGAGACCCATTGGAATATATAGAGCAGAAATTTTAGTATACTCCCCCACAGATCGTGACACACGTCATTGATATATGATGACAGAAAATTTACCAATACTTTGTAATTTAAGAATTTTCTCACTGTTGTTGTTTTTTTGAATAACTAAGTACATGAAAATTGAAGACGTGTGTTCTAAACAAAAATCATATTCTTGACATTGCCAGCAGCTGCATCATGTGTCATATTTTAATCCCATGGAGATTTTACTGGCAATTCTTTGATACGTGTCATTATGGTATTTATCAGATCATGTAACTATACAAGTAATAGTCATGGAGAATCGATTTATTTGGTTCATATGAGGGAGTGTTAAGAGTAAGATAAGTAAAAGAAATAAAATGAGCTATAAAAGCTATTTATTTCCGCTAGTTTTTATTTTCAGTGTTGTGTTCTGTTGTAGAAAAATTAAAATTAAAAACTACAATTTAACGATTTCTTAGAATAACAAGTAACATGACACGTCAGTTATTTTTTTATATTAGACAAATGTAAATCATTTACCAAATTAGAGAATTTATATTCATGTCATCATCTTTTTGTGTACTCAAAAAATGAGTACACTAGATTCGGTCAGTGTGTCCAGCCGTTAACACGATAACTCTTGAAAGCCTCATCCAGTTGTCTTGAAATTTTCTACACGGAATGATCTCATCAATATCTCAGTCGAGTTCGAAGATGAGAAGGATCCGTCAAGAAATGGCTGAGTTATCGAAAAAATTGTCATTATTGACCNTAATTAGGTCAACAAAAATTACTCTTACACGGTCGCAATTTTTTGTATATTCTCCTTGTAAGACACAACTCATAGGTATGATCATATTTCTTCGTTGGTGATACATAAAAATGCGATTACTACATGAGTTCTTATACGAATTCTAGTTCATTCACTATCGCACCTTGAATAATCACATTTCTCTGTCAATGAAATACGGTTATAACATCGCGCCATTTAATGCATTCAAATGTGATCATACGTGTGGAGATGCCGCTAGAATAAACATGCATACAGTTGAATTATTATTTCTAGATCGTATCCTTATAAGGTAGAGAATAAATAATATTTCTATTGATAACAAATTTAAATCAAAACAAGTTTGTATAATGTGTCACAAACAATAAAATATCGAGGAGAGTGTTGTGTGACTTTGTTACCTAGTCTATTTATTTTATCATTTTGTTTTTCAAATGATGTAATTGATATATTATAATCTATCTATCGGATGGGTTGTGTTCACTGGAAAATATACAGTTGATTTTTCTCCCTCTGATTTTCACCATCATTACTCATTATCGACAGTATTCATTTTGTCGGCTTCAATTAGTAATGACGGATGTGTGCTTTAATAGCATATGAATTTCTGTCGCCTTAGTCGTATCATTTTTCCAGGCGTTCTTTCCAACATATTTCTTGGTGAACATTTGGTTTTTTCACATCGCATCGAGAGCCGTCCTTCCTATGTTTCTCAGATTGCTTACTGTTGACGCTGATAAATTTAAATTGACTATTTTTTAGTATAATTTGAACTTTTTAATCATTATCTTATTCGTGATACTTCTGTTGATATTCATAAATCAATGATAAAATACAGCTTGCCTTTTCCGAATGGTAACAAACAGAACTGAAACAACAGAATATTTGCTTATTGTTTTTTGAAAAGTAAAAACGAAAAAATATTTCGTTACTTCAAATTTGCTATTTTCTTTTCAGCAATTGTTTTCTTTCGAAGTGTTTTTCATGCTGTATTATTAATAACAGAGATGTGATGATGTTGTGGAGAAAAAAAAATGAGCCTGTGTACGCCTTTGTAATATGACAAAAACGCTTTTTCGTCCAGAAGCCCTGTCAAAAATTTCCAACGCACACTCGAAAAACTAAAAATAAATAAAGATACTACTTATTATGTCTGCTAAGCTTAAAAAGAAAAAGGTAAATGTAGCGTATTTTTCGCTACGATGTTTAATACTGTTACTTTCTTTCTTACTCAGCGCATAACAAAGTTATAGAAAGACATCTGCTCAAATTTGCCATCGGATCATGCATATAAATACTATTATCGTTATCAATGACTAAAAGCCAAAAACGTAATCAACTAGTAATAAAGCGCAAAAAAGTGGATGTAAAGAATCGGTGAGTAGTCCTCGTTCTTTATTTGCGAGTTTATGCCAGAAATGTAAAGAAGAAAGAAAAGGAAAAGGTGTTTTTTTTTCTTTTTATTTGACCTGTTTTGTTTTTGATAGAAAAATTCATGTTAGCTATAGTAAAATGAAAATAAATAATTCCAGAAGGATAGAGGAGATATAATCGAGACATGTGTTTGTCACTCACGGCAGTATCCTAAGTTTTCATGGTTGATCTCATTTTGTATTTTTTTCATTCATGCTGACTGAATTCGATGAATACATTTGCCAAGCACATTACTGTTTCTTTTTCCTTTTTCATTCACATTTTGTGTCGAAGTATTACAGTATAAATCAGGCACAAACCATGAATGCTAAGCATATTTATACCAGTGAAGTTTGAATAAAGACAGTATAAATAGAACATTTTCTTCCTCTCACTTCAAACAAAATCCTTGTTATGCACAAAAGCATTTTTCTGCCAATGAAAGAAAGTGCACTTCTAATTCATCTAACATTCTTGTAATAGTAGAAGTCTATCATACGCAAGCATATTTTTCGTACGTTTAGACATTTCTTCAGCAGATTTATTTTTAATTGTAGGCAATAGACACTAGTCACGGTGAGTTTTAATAGTTTAATAAAACATAGGTATTCATATAATTTTTAATGAGTAATTTGATAGCTAGTTTTCTTGTTGAATTTTAAATTTCTTCATATAGATTAATAAATGGGGATCCTGCGAAGTGTATCCTACTTGCAACGAACTGATTCATTAAGTCGTGTATTAATCATAATTGCTAGTTTTTTTGCTGTATCTGCATTGACATTGGTAATTGTTGGTATAGCGACACCGTCTTGGTATTCTTCTCAGGATTCCACCGGCACTTTTGTTTATTTTAACTTATTTACACAATGTGTAGGTAATGGAAATAACAACACATTGATTTGTACTGCTATACAACGACAAACTACCTTTGGCGCAGGTACTCAAAATGCAGCAGCATTATTAATTGTTGCGATTTGTCTACTGGGCTGTGGTACATTAATTACACTTATTATGATATTTATTCGATTACCAGGTATAATGGTATTGATTGCACCAGTCGTTCTCTTTCTTGCTACACTTTTTATGGTTGTTGCTTTTGAAGAATGTTCAAAAGTAACAATTTATAATAGTTATAGTGCTAATCTTGTTCAAACGTCTCACATAGCTACTATATTTGCTATGGGCATTGTTGCTTTTGCAAGTGGACGATTACATTTTAGTTCATATCAAGAAATATAAATACTTCTTAACCATTTCGATCTGTTTTTGTCAATAGTTGTTACTAGTGAATTTTTTGGAAAAATTTAACCAATGCTTTCATTTTTTTTTATAATTTTTTTCGCAAATAATAAGGAAGACCAATATTTAAATATTCTCTGACATGATTCGCCTCAAAACAACTTCCCAAGTAGAATAAGACAAGTTCTATCCAACAGAAGCATCTGACATGCAAAATACAACGCTCTAGTACTGCCGAAAATGCTAAATACCAGATGGATATGTACAAGTCTTGAGAGATTCATAGATGTTTTTGTTTTTTGGTTACTCAGATGTTTGCTTTGAATCTTTCTATTTATTTTGTCGTTCAATCACTAAGAAATAAAAGAAAAAATCTTCTCCTGTAATAAATTCTGGTCTTCGAATACGTCTGACACGTATAGAGAGAAGAAAAACCAAACTATTGGTTGATGTCATTCAATTGAGCAAACGTCAATTGATATCAACGTGATAGATGCTTGTGCCCAGACAAATGATGTAAGGTAAGCTCTGGTCAGAAAATGGAAGCAGGAGTCCTGTCAACGAATTCGGACGCCATTACTATCGATCTGGGAATGTCAAGTCAAATAAATTAGCTTTTTTCTTCTTACTTTCTACCAGTCAGACTCTCTCTCCCTCTCTCTCAAATGTTTACCTGTTTCCAATTCGAAAAACTAATGAATAATAACCAGATGAAATACGACTTGATGTTTGCTTTTAATTAGATAGCAATTCATAGTCAGAAAAAATTGATCAGTGCAATCAATAATGGTAGAATCGAAGACAACCACTGTTTGTTCTATGCTAAAGAATAAAAAAAATAATTTAGAATATGTTGAATTCCTCTGCTCGTATTCAACCACCAAATAAATATCCATTAGTTAACGAAGATATTCTTTTAACGCATGTCACTCAATGAGACAATAACAACGTAACGTATAAATTCAAAAAAAAACATTTCAAGTGATTCAGATTGTACAAATCGTGAATATATTACTTATTTTTTCGACTTTTAATAAATGGTATATTAAATATGAGATCGGTTTAGATGAGACTATTTATTAAGAGTATTAGAACAAACAAGAATAATGCCCTCAAATATTTGATGAATTTCATAGGCATTCGATATTTGAAGTAACTGAGCAAATTTTCCAATTTGAACTTATTTTTGTGGATTGAGAAGTCTGTAGAGAACTTCGTCAGTTAAACCTATTCTTAAAATAGTTCATGGTATGAAGCCGATCGGTAGCGACCTCACATGTCCATATAGAGGTGTTGCCATAGCGTAACTATGAATTATGAAGAACGATCGATGCATATTAACACTGTAAAAATTGCCATGTGTCTAACGAGACATGGTATCAGTATTAAGCCTTATTCAGACGCGAAATACGTCTTGCTTTTAGACATGTAGTGACTACAGACATGAAAGCGTCTTAAGTTCCTCTTTCTCGTAAAACATCGTTATAGCTATTGACCAATAGATCAAGTTTTTCACTTTCTTTCGTAGCTATGAGAATTTACTTTCGGATGTGAAACAAAGAGTCGTATTCGATTTCTTGAAAATATTTAGGATTTCACTCTTTCCAGAACTAGTTTTTCCGATGGCTTTTCTGCCGTGAACTACTTCACATTTTTACTCGAGTTGAGGATATTCGTGGTTTTGAAGAGATCCGCATCTCTTGATTCGATATATGAAGTGAAGGGGCTTTGAAAATGTGCAAACCATTTTACTGGAATTTCTTTTTTATTTATTTCTAATATATTTTCAAGTTTTATATTCGTTGTCTAGATGATAGAAAAATTATCAAAAATAACTGATTACAATTATATTTTAATATTGTATATTTAAAAAAATACTTAAAACTTTTATTTTTTTCGTTTTCGACTTGTGTTGCATGAGTTTTCCCAAACGCTTCTATCAATCTATGGTTCACTAATTCAAGAATCCATGTTTTCTTTTATGAACATTAGATATTAGAATAAATATTCTCAATGAAATAATTTTTTTCTATATATATCTTTTGATGTTTAATGAAATTCCTCAAAAATCAGATTTACTCAGATAAAATATTTTCGAAGATAACATTTTATCCCACAAGAATATCACCTTCGAGGAATTTCATTAAACATCAAAAACTAAATATAAAAAAATTAAAAAAAAAATTCTGTAATTTTTAAATATAATCTTAACTCAAGTAAAGCGTAAAAAAATTATTTCATTGAAAATATTTTTTCTAATATCTAATGTTCATATAGAAATATGAATTCTTGAATTAGTGAGCCGTAGACCGTCTTACTTGTGCACTTCATGTGTCTTGATTTTTTAGAGTGTTTTAATACGGTTGACTATCGTATTGATATTTAAAATATGCAGCAAGTTCGCCCAAATTGTGAACCAATGCCTGATATCAATGTTCGTGAAAGAGAAATCCATCATGGTATATTTCGTACTGATCTATCATCTTTATTGAATGAATACACCACTACGCAAAAACGCTGTATGTATTATTAGTCAGAGCATAGAATTTTTCTTTTATATGTACATAATACATAGATAATGATCGTCTTGAATCTCTTGAGCGTGAAATAGAAGCTCTTAAAGTTCAACCGCGTTCAGATGCTTTATCATCATCATCATCAACAACAGATGAAAACGAACTCAATCGAACATATACTACAAAAAAAGCATCGCCTACACAACCAATATCCGCTCGTGGTACAGGTCCTTCTCGTATACCACTACCAGTAACGCCTCGAAAATCAATCAGTGACAATACTGTACCGGCCAATCCTTCCAACAGTATGCTACCGAATTCACGTCCTTTACCTCCGGTGCCTTTGACACGTAGTAAAACCTTTCATAATGATACATCTTCAGCATCATCTAATCCACCAGATGATACTAATAATATTCTTCGATCTTACAAAGCACATCTCGAACAAATACTTCGGAAAGATTCACCACCATATTCTGATATCAAAGTTCCAAATTACACGTGCATAGAAGATGTTTTGAAAGCAAATGAGGTATTCTTGCGATTATTATTATTTCTAAATATTCTATTTACCATTCAGCAACTTTTAATTGATAATGATCGCCTGCGATCTGAACTGAATCGTTTAAAAACAGAAAGTATTGTGTTACTTCGATCTATGAAAACAGCAACAGGTACAGAGCCAACTCTAGGCAATGAACGGGTACGATTGAAAAAATTCTAACGATAGTTTCTAAAAATTTCAACTATAGATTATTGCTGAACGTGAACGTCAAGAATTAACAATGAAAGTAGCACGACAAGCAGAAGAAAATAAACGCCTTCGAAAATCATTATTAGCGCAATCAGAAAAATTTCTAACATTACGCCAATCTACACATACTGCTAATACTGAATTAGTTAAACTACAAGATCATCGTTGTACACCGGTAAAATTGAAAACATAGATTATCATAAAAAAAAAGATACATGTTGTTGTTTTTTTCTCATTCCCTATAATGAAGGGATCAGCGCCACAAACATCGCTTCGTCATAGTAAAATTCAACAATCAAATTCTTCTCGATACCATATGGGTGATAATCGAGCAATTGTTCGAGCAAAATCTTTTCATCATACCTCACAAGATTCATCATAACGTTTTCATATTAAAGAATAATTTTTGCAATATCTTTCGATTCATATTTTATTTTTATATTTAACACACATCATTTGAATAGTATAGAATTACGCATACAGTATTTTCTCTCAAATGTTATCAACAAATAACATGTATTTCTATGTCATCCGGTTTTTGAAAGAAAAATATTTTGTATTAAAAAAAACTATGAATATACTTTTAAGTAATGATCATTTATCTGGATCATAGGTATATGAGCAATTTTGAGCATCTTTTGTACACTCACCGGTAAGTTATGCAGATCTCTGATAGAAAAACAAAAAACTAACTTTCATAAAGCAGACTGGCTCGCATTCACTAGAAAACAAGTTGGCTGCAGCACAATCAGAAATGATAACGAAGAAATCAGCAATATAGGTGTACAAATTATACAGTACTTTTTTGTTTTATTAAATTAGTCTAAATAAAATACGAATCCATCTTGAGAAGATATTTGATTTTTCAGCGACGAGACGACTCACTAAAGTTCTGATGTTCTATTGTACCTCATTTCTAGGTAAATGACAATGATAGGAATCATTTTGAAACTGATATTTTGCAAGAAATATATGTACAAAACCATCGCAGAACTTTAGTTAAGAAAATAATTCCTGGCGATCTTTCTAATTAAGGGCTTCTGAAATAGATCAGGAGTTAACCAGGAGATTTTTTTCCGAGAAATTAATAAACTATTTAGCAGTTTTATTTCGTAGACAACTGATATTTTGCATGCACATAAGGATTGGTTAATATTTTTTGCTGCTAAAGTGCTGATAGTCAAATTTTTAATTAAATGTTATGTAAGAAAAACTAAAGATCGTCAAATATGTTCTATATTGCTTTTTATTTCAAAAGTTTTCATAAAAATATACAACAATAAATAAATTAAAGCTTCTTAGAAATCGATATGAATCAAAACAAAAGTGTCATATTCGAACAATAAATTATCAGTTATGCCGTACGTGGAACTTTTGCAATATGAGCATATTTATTTGACGATCGAATTTGTTTCACAAGATCTTGATTATTTAAAAGGTAATTATCAAACTCTATACAGTTGTATTGACTGTGTTTTCGATTCATAATGCCGCTAAAATTCAATGTGAGAAAACAAAATCAGTAGATTTGGCCATCCTGGATGCTACATTAACTTTTGAAGAAAACAAAATTATTTATCTTAAATATCGATCATATCTCTTAAACTTTGCAACTACTAAATACGGGAGAGAATACAAACACGTCAATAATCGGCGCATGAAAAGCAAATAAATACGTTTGAATTTGTATCGCACGTTGAGATAAGATTCCATTTTTGTTACATATCGATTTATGAATAATGTTTTATTCCAAGCGTTTCATGGAACGATTTGATTAACTCAGAGAAATGTAATGAGTGAAAAAAAAGGAAAATCATACAAGACTGATTTGTTATTTTCTGTCCAACTCGATAGAAATACGATAACATGACTCAGTTAGTCGATGATTTCTTATTGATGAATTATTTTAATTCGTTGTGCATGTCGTTGTTTTGCATGATTTATTAGCGGATTAAACTGTTTGAACAATTTGAGAAAATACGCGTACATCAATACGCCATGTATAGGAAACATAACCAACATATTTACGGCATCCATTACCGCAACTGGTGTTGTGCATGCTTGCTCCTGTAGAATGGTACTTATAACTGATAATTTAAGTCTTTTCACTTACGAAGTCTTTTGGATAGATGACATTCACAGGTGGATTCGTGCTGAGAATAGTAACTGTAGTTGTACTTTCGGTAGTTGCTGAAATTATTTACAAAACATCTTTTTTGATATTTTACTTTTGTTACAATTAATGATACTTTTCGATAGATTTATTCAAACAATGTTTATAAAGCTATACAATGAAAAACGATTCGTCTATTACTTGTTGTTGCAGTTGTTGTGATAGTCGTGAGAGTTGCTGTACTTGTCCACACAATACCCTTAGTTGTTAACTTACGTAAGTTTTGTTATTATATCAGAATTTATTCGAAAGCTACCCCATAATATTGATCAGATTTGAAATACAATTTTGTACAACACCCACATCGCTGTCGAATAACACTGTTTCAATGTTCATGATGAAAACTGTATAAGAACAATAACAACAAGGAATCTCAGTTCGATACAATATACAATATTTTTCTGTTGAACGTGATGTGTCGAATAAATAAATGTTTTATTTTTATTTAACAAAACAAAAACAGCAATATTAGTCAATCGTAATCAATAGTTTATCGTCCGGAATCATATAATTAAAGTGATCGCATAGACAATACTGACTATACAATGCAATTAAAGGGTTGGTACTGTTAACGAGGTTGCAATCGGAAGTTCACTGAATGATATATTACTATGATTGAGTCCAAATACTGTATTAGTGTATGATAGAGCAAGTGTTAGAAGTTGTTCTTGTGTAATAGATGAAGGTGCAAATAAATCAAAGTAAACATTTCCACTATTTTCATCCGCTCCTATGTTCGTATGGATTCTTAAACCTAATGCTTGTGAATTTTGATCAAAATTTAGTAATTCTATGCGTTGTAAAGGGTATACTCGAAATTGAATGAAAAATAATTCATCAATTATGAAACCATTGTCATAGAAGACAATGTGACCGTATTGACGATTCAATAATCTATCATAAGATTGACGTCGACAACAGAAACATGATAGAGCAGTCAGCTTTGCCCATTGTCGATTAGGGCCATGAATGTAGTTCAAGTAGCGTATTCACTCTGCGCCATCTAATCGTCACACAGAAGTTTGCCCTAGACTTGTACTATCGTCGAGATCATCAAATTTTTTACGTATTTCATCACGTAAAAGACAGACAGCAATACAAATTATGAGAACAGTGGCTCCAAGCAAACTTGCACCTATGGCAAGGAGTGCTAAGCGTAGATTTGAACAATAGTCAATATAATTGTTGCATTTTGGTTTGACAAATGACGTCAACAATAATATTAAACCAGGTAGTCCCAAAAGAATCCCAAAAAAAAGCGCAAGATAGAACAATCGTTTACGGCTATCTTTTTTGTGAAAATCGATTAGATCCCTTAATAATGACGAATCAAGAGTAATATTGGTACTCGGATTAAGACGAGATTCGAAAATGGGTGATACTCGATTCTAAAACAAACATGAAAACAAAAGCGCATTCTTTCATTCAGCTATTATCTTGCAGAAATTTAGAAAAAAGTTGATTTTCACATGCTTCGTTTATATCTTAATATGATTCTATGTACCGTAGTAAAGTATTATAGGAACGAAGCTGTTTTAAACGAGGCTTATTAAAAAGGTTCTATTAGAAAATTGAATTACTCACATTTAGAGTAAATTATAAATAGACGAAATGCCATTTTTATACCTGAAATCAATAGATTTTTTCAGTAAAAAGATCCGTAGTAGTTTTTCCTACACCAAAAAGCTTTTATTTTATTACGTCATGCTCAAACCTAGAAGCCTGCCAATATAGTATAGGATTTTTACTCAGTACATGCCCGAAAATTTCATTTCCCGTAAATAGTCACAGTTCACCTATCAGAATTTTATCTACTTATGATTGGCAACTGTGGAAATTTAGGACACTATTTTGTCCAGATCAATTCGACTGAGGCCTTCTGAAAAGGTGAACTACCGGGTCAAACTTCGAAAATATATGATTTTTTGGTTAAAAATTCGGGTTTAACGAGAAGAATACAAAATTTCGAATTGAGCTCATCATTCGGAAAAAATTCTGGCATATTTTCTCGTCTTCTTGAGACCGAACTATATTTATAGAACGAGACCAGACGTTTGATATTAGTGCAGATAATTCCTTCATGAATAAAAGCTTTGTTCTGTGAATTGGAAAGAAAAATAACATATTGGATCCCATGCGAATGATACCAGGATAGCTTCATAGTTTGGGCTAAAGTATTAATTATAAAACCTGTGAGGAAAGACCTCCTACTTCACAATTGTTTAGAGGACATCAACGATAAAATATGGGAATACCGTTCCGGTGGAGCGATTTTAAACTTACATTTGATGGACGCTTATAGGTGTACATGAAACCACGATATTGATTAGTTTGTGGTTGTTCTTTAGTTGATGAATTCAGCTCAGGATACATTTCTCTAATAATAAGAACAATCAAATAAGTGTTTATATAATTCGTTAGAGATTCCAGCAGTTTATTATGATTTTTATTTTGGCTGCAATACGAAAAATACCTACGGATAGAACTGCATGCTCGTTCAAGAAAAACAGAAAATTGTATTTACTCCTCAGTCAGTAGAAATGCGCCGGTTTTCAAGCGCATAAAGAAATAAATATATAACACAGAATAGATACAAAAACAACTTATTTAGTAACACGGTGTTATGTCAGGTGATATTTATCCTGCCATAAGAATGTTCTCTCTTCTTCTCTCAGTTCCATTCTATCACGTTTACAATCTTTCCATTCTTCTTCCGGTATCTATTCTATTTAAGTGAGTGTTAATGTTTGAAGAAAGGGGGATTTTCTTGTGCGAATGTAATAAGAAGAAGAAGGCGAAATAAAGAAGAAGATTTTAACGCACGGTCAGTATGCTCTCTTGTTTCTCATAAAAATGCTACAAAGATGCAGTCGAAGTACAGATGAAACATCTTTTGGACAAAGTACATAACAGGACTCCTAATGGGATGGGATGAGTTCCTAATCCCATGGGAAATGTGATTATTTTTTTAAAGAAAAAATGACTATTCATTTATGTCACACTTGCCAATAGGTGAAAAATGTGAATATTATCATGCTTTTTCTGCACTGGTCATTAACCCGACTCCAAGCTCTATTCGAGCAATTGAATAAAGAATACGACAAGACATAGACAACATAAATGTTCTTTTTGTTTCAATGTTTTAATAAAATATCATTATCAGTTGTTTTATAAATTGTTCAATGTCACCTTCTATAATTATTTCTTCCTCATTATCATCCTTAGTTTCGAATAAACACGAATATTCAGTTGAGAAAATCAAATTTCGCTTACACCATCACAAACAGAATTAAAAGGTATTGATAATCATATTCCAACTAGGAATATACCCATTTCTAGTACATGGTACGGTAGATAAAATTTTTGCCTAATGTAGGAGGCAGTCCTTCTCTGATTCCGTTCCACATGTCAGCCAAGATCGTTTTTTTCTATCTATGAAAAACTATGATCCAAATTTATTAAAGATGAACAAGCGTTTATTCTCACTACCGGGCACGTCATTTTTAAGTAGGGAAAAGATCAAATCCCGTCAATTTCTAGAATTTTTTATCCAATGTTTACACGTTTTCAGCATTGGGACTTATGGACTAAACCTCTTCTTACTTATTTTTTTCTGTTCAGTTTTGAACGTTCTTTTTAAATCTATTCTTAGAATTTGTGTAATGCAAACTGCAAGTCTGAAACTGAATTGGATTTGACCGAAAACGACTTGAAAATTCAAATTCCGAGTCAAATCCGAAAACGTTTTCAATCTCTCATAAATCCCGCCTATCGTTTTACATAGAGAAAAGAAATGGTCTCGGCTGATATATGGAATCAGAGGACAACTCCATCCTACATCAGGGGAAAATGTCATCTTTCTTGCAATCTACTAGGAATTGGTGCATCCTTAATTCCAATATTCAAATCGGAATGCTGGAAAACTACGAGGTTTCAGTTAGAAAAATAAACCTTGATTTTCAGTAAGATTTTTCGTAATATAGCGAATTCCATGGGAGCCCATGGGACGACTTGCATTATCCCACGGGACGAAAATTTCGTCCTATCCCATTAGAAATCCTGGTACATAATCAGTAGTATTTTCCTCGAAACTTTGTGGAAGGACCTCCTCTGAAACCAACAAAGAAAAAAATTAACGTGCGCAGGCAGTCGATATTGAAAATATTTAGAAACAGTCGCGTTCAATGTCTGGGGATTTGTATCTTGATGCAAAGAAAATCAGCTTTTAGATCACTTGATGCCAGTTAGCTCCAGTTTAGGATGGATCGATTACAGATGTGACTACTAAGAATGTTTTTCGCGAGAATCAATTCATCAATTTTGGATGTTAGAAAGAAAAGTAACTAACTTTTTTAGTTCGTAATGTGTATCAAGAAGGAAGATTGCGTTCAGATTATCAATTGGACTTGGTGTTAGTGAAAACATCATAACGAATTCACACACACTTGTCCCTGTTTCTAGTAAAATTTAGTGCTCACTCAAGCTTTTAGAACCGAGATATTGGTGTTATCGTTTCTATTTGTTGTTGATCACTCGATAATGAAAACCACTCCGTTGCTAATAAGTAGATGGGCAACCAATAAACAAATTTTCAAAACCTATTGAGACAAAACTGTTTGTACACAAAATTCCCCCTGAATTCAGTTAGGTTCGAATCTGATGGTCTAATATAATGTTTGAGCAAATAAAGCCTGATATAGCATAAGAAAAAGTAGCTCGTTTTCAGCCCTGCTAACTTATAACTAACTTACTTTTTACTGATACAAATATGAAACTTTCAGTCTGTTATAAAATGAGAACCACTGTATTTATACTTCGTTTTGTTTTTGTGTAGCTTGTTGTCATTTTCGTGATAAAAAAATGTGCGGAGACATCGAGAGAATTGTAAGTATTCTGACCAAACAACAGTTATCAACATATCACGCTTACTGATGCGTGGGAGTTTGAGTCATAAATTTAAAGATGATACGAAATTTCTTTTACAATCTTTTCCGTTATTGATATTCTAATTTTATTTAGAGGTTATCTTAAGGGCCACCTCTCACAAAAGTTGACTTTTTAAAGAAAAACGGGAATGGATTTTTTAATATAAAAAGATGCACTCAAGTTTTCTCTATCTAAATATAAATAAGGTTTTAAGAAACACCCATGTTAAACAGCACTGCCGAAATCATTTCTTCAAACCGACTACCACAGTTTTAGGCTGATACCTAGTTTTTATTTCGGTGCTTTCTGAAAACATGGTTTTCCAACAGTAAAGCTGAAATAACTCCGACTTGGCTCAACCTTTTTGCCGGATGTTTTTATTTCATTCTAAAGGTCTCAACGAGACCTAACTTTTCATCAGATGAATTTTTCATAGTAGATTTCTGGACTAACAAAAGTTCGATCTAGGGTGTGGTTTGTCTCTTTATCCACATGCCGATACGCACTCACCTTCAGGATCCAATAGACCAACGGCATCGTCATGTATCTGATGAGTCTACGTTGGATATTTGAACTACATGCGCATAGTGGACATTAACAGCTTAATGAATGACAGGAAGAGTAGTGACAGTTAGACTACTATTCAGATAACTGTCTGGACGAACAATGATATTGATTCGAGAAACAACACTCCATAAGGCACCACTGCCAATAACAAGATGTGAAAACCACTTACCGGATGCAAAGGCAATGCTGAAATCTGCATTCAATGGTATTGCGCGTATGTTATAGATTTCTCCTGAACTCACACTACCACCTATATACTATAATCAGTACAATATGCTTGTGTATATATTTGACTTAAATCCCAATGAGCGTATGTGCCTGAAACATACACGACAGCAGTGGAGTCACCGAGAGGCATCATCGCAAAAGTGAACTGCACGATTCCATGAGTATCTTTGGCGAATTTGAATGTCAACTGAGCTTCCACAAGGAGTACTGTTTAACGGACACCTAATGAAAATATATCCACAACAGCATTAAGAAAGATGAACAATATGGACTAACTAAGTAATTGTACCACCACGAATGGGAACATTTTGAACAAATGGAATATCTGCTAATAAGGCAATAATATTGAATAGGATAAGCATAATTGATGAGACGATCGAAAGATTGCTTTTTTCTTTACGAAAAAAACGATTGTTTTTTTATACGACTCTATAATGAAAAATGCTGGATATCTATAAAATCAATAGTCTTTGTTGATTCCAAGAATGACGTGAAACCTTAAATGTATTGATGACGAAACAATTGATTGCAGAGACTTTATACGTTATCATCGTTCGGAAGACATAGAAACAATTATGAATTGTTTCTATTATTCAGACTCATAATAAAACAGAAAATTTTTCTTTTCGAGTGAATACAATTTTCAAAATACGTCTCTTAGTGCTTTTTCTCTCTCATACTCATAGTTTGTATTGTTGTCTATGCTTTTAATTTAGAAATAAAACTCTGAACTGTTTTTGTTTTAAATGGAGTACGACGAATCACAGTTGTCATTAAATTACTGGCTATTTTTCAAAGATTTTGATTATAAACTTGTTCTAGAATCAATAACAATAATATCCCCTGCCTGTGATCAATGTGTACTATAAAAAATTAGTTTACTTCTTACTTTTTTTCTCATATTGTCAACAATCATATCATTAGTTGACGTATGCCTTTATGTTTTAATCATTCTACATTGGTACAACTCGAAAACGTAGTGTCAATTTCATTTACGCAACGTGAAACATGACTTTTTAAGTGTTTGTCACAGGGTTACCAAATCTCCTGCTTTCACCAGGGATCTCCTGATTTTCGAACTTTCCTCCCGGTAAAAAATCTCCTGGTTTCAGGAGCTGATTTTTATGTTTTTTTTCTGATTGTTTTATGCGACGATTAGCGATATTTTGAACCTACAGCAATTTTAAAAAGAAAAACAACAAATCTGTGGAAGCGTTAAACAGATGCAAGAACCAATAAGAAAATATATTGCTTTTTGTTTTTCTCGATTCAGAACTGATTTACAATGAAATAAATATCGAGAAAATCGAATGGAAAAATATTCGATATTGTACCAGTTATATCAATGAGGACATGTTACACCTATATGGTTTATATAATGATTTTAATAATACAAAATCAAAATACATGGAATTGAAAGAAGAGTGTGGGCGTGTCGCTGTATGACTAGACACGATCACCAACACCCTCTAAGGGAGTTTAGTTTTTGAGGACGTTTCGTTTCATCTTTTGGTGTTACCAAAACGGTCATATCCTAACGAACATTTAGTATATTATTAATAAAGTGTATGTGGGTGTCACTCAGGATTTATATTAAGGATTTTAATAAAAACTATGGTATTTAAGAAGAATATGATATATAGAAAAGATCGAAACAAAAAAAGTTAAATAAAAAAGAATGAAAAGATGAAAGTATCGAAAAGTTTGAAAATGGCTTAGATAAAAATTTAGTGTTAAATTGTATGCTGTTGATAGCTAGAGTTATTTTATGATATTTTGCTAATTGTTCATTGTATGACACGACTAGCTCGAGAGTGCGGATGTTGGCATTGTAGTTTAGAACATCCACATTCCTACCCTCATCCTCAGCCGCAATCACATTCACACCCACGCCCATATATCAGATAAATAACGACTCCTTCATTTAGAAAACTATATCGTTCATGAGCGGAGCTGAAATAAATAGAAATTGATTTTAAAACTGGTTTTTCTTTTGGAATGTTTTCGATGAACAATTAAGAATAGAATTTTTTGTTTTCGTTGGTCATATCTATCAGTAGTTGTGTTGGAGCAAAGCGATTCCCATATTCTGATTGAAAATTATTCATAACGTCGAGTATGTTAGAAATTCCATAGGTATCCATAAAATGAAATGGTCCTAAACATTTAAGAATAGAAAAGTAACAAAGGAAAAGGTGTTCTATAATTACCTCCTTTCATTGGAGGAAAGCCAAGACCAAATACAGCACCTATATCACCATCAGTCTAGAATAACATAGAATATTCGTTCAAAAGTACTACAATGTTTTGCAGAAAATTTTAAAAAGCTTTTTCATTAAAGACAAAGATAAGATTAGCCAAAATGGCATAATCATATATTTGTATAAGTTTTTCAGGAAAGAGTGTAGCCTATAACAGCAATTTAATAATGCTCTCATTTATTCCAATATAATTAAGAATTCTCAATGAATAATTAAATGATTTCATTGCTATATAAATCTTGGAGTTCTACGAGTACAACAATAGTGCACCTAGTACAGAAAAAATGATTCACTATTCCACCGCGTTTTATTTTAGATTATTTGCGATGCGATTGGTCACGACGAGCAGTAGAAAAGTATGTTTTGATTCGAATTTCGAGTGATAATTGCTTTACTATACGTTGACTCGATTGTTAGAAAATTGCTGAATATCACAGGGGTCTAATATCCAACTAAACTATTTTTCAAAAATAAATATTACTGTCATTAGAAACGTGTTAAAACTGAAGCCGAAACAAACGCCTGTTTCAGTATGCATTTGCAATGAAAACCGTCTATATAAATATTTATGTTCTAGTTATTCTCAAGCGTATCTGTGCATAAAATTTCAGTTCAAAATTCTGGCATTCAGATTCTCAGCGATTCTATGGTCTCATAAATAATCAAGTAAATCTTCCAGATTTCGATAAAAGAAAAGAAAATTAAAACCCACTAATTTACTACTGATCTTCACTGATCAAATGGTTGTGGTTTCCAGCAACACACGATGGAACAATTCTGACATAAGACCCCTCAGTTCAACACAAATCCTATAAAATATTGTCAATACATACAGGCGTGCTAATAACATTCTCTTCAAGACATCGTGCAGCTTCATTTAACATGCGAAGACTTATACGCCATTGAATAGTTTCTATCATTGATCTAAATAGTTAAGTATATAAAAGAAACACCTACAAAACAATCTCACTCCTACTTACATGTCTTTCCTTGGTGTGAAGTAATTTTTAGGCAATTGTTTTAATTTTGGACTAATCTCTTTCTTCCCATCATTATGATAAACATATAAGCCTTGTCCTGATTTTTTTCCAAGTAAATTATTGTTTATAAACATTTTAATTAAATCAATGATAGATGAATTCGCAAGACGATCACCGAATATCTCTCTCAGCTGAAATACTATATATCCAAAAAGATCAATACCAAATTCGTCCAGTAAAATTGCTAAACCAATATGAAATCCGAATTTTTTTGTTGCAATATCAATATCTTTCGGTGAAACCCCTTCTTGCAAGAGATGAAATATTTCCACACAGCCAAATATTAATAAACGTGTTGTATAAAATCCAGGACTATCACTAACTACAATAACAATTTTTCCTTGTTTAAGACCAACCGTGACTGCTGATGAAACGGTATCGTTCGATGTTTGTTTAGTTCGTATGATTTCTAGCAATTCAACTTTATCAACTGGAGAAAAATAATGCATACCGACAACCTTTTATAAATCAAAAAAAAAAGGAAATATTTATTTTATAGTAAAAAAGAAATTTACTTTATCAGGATATCTACTATTCGAAGCTATTTGTCCGATAGACAGTGTATATGAATTAGTAGCAAATATGCAATGTTTAGACATGTATTGCTCAAGTTCATTAAGAGTATTTTGTTTTAATTTAAGATCTTCAAATAGATCCTCTATGATTATATCACATTTCTCTAGATTCTCAAATGTTGTGTGACAAGTTAAATTAGATAATATTCGATTGCATTCTGTGCTAGATTAAAATAAGAAAATATCATAGTCAAGTGAATATGATGAGTATTTTTCATTACTTTGTTATTCGATTTCGTTTAACATAAGTTTGATAATTTTTAACGATTTGTGATTTGCCTTGATCGAGTACCGCCGATGTGTTATCATAAAGTATGACTTGAAAATCTTTATCAATCGATACATGTGCAATACCAGCACCAATCACACCTGAACCTATCACAGCCATGTTTCTGTTATTAAAAAAAATATTCAATTACTTTTTAAATCATTAGAGCAACGTAATTTGAATGGAATCCGTCAAGAACTCCTGACATGTACTATCGTTTAGTTAAACACTCACTTGATTTCTCGTTCCGAATTTCCATATTTATTCTTTTTACATTGAGTACGTCCATGAAATAGACTGATTAACGCTTTTGATTCATTGGTCATAGCAAGATCTGCAAAAGCCTAGTGTTTATAAATTCAAATCATTTTTTTTTCTTTCAACAAACAAAACTTACTTCTGCTTCAGCATTGTATCCAATCGTTGAACCATTTTCCAGTGTTTGCCGAATGACCTAATCAGAACATTTGTTTCTTACATGTTTCGATTCTTTTTCTTTATGAATAGATTTAATACAAACATCTAGAATTTTCAATGGTGCTGGATAAAGACCTTGTGTTTGTGACATTACTTTTGTTTGAGCTTGTGATAAAATATAATTTCGTACGTACGAATTTTCCATTATTATTGATTTTATATCTATGGTACAAGGTGACTAGCGAGTGTTAAGGTAACACGCAGTATCCTACTTTTCATTAGTCCAGATTTTTGCTTGGAAGCTTTTTTTACAATCAGCAGCCTAGAAAAAAAAACTTTGCTCATCTATGCTGAAAAAATCGAAGTAGTTATAAAGAGTTACTGGGTATCTTTCACATATGAAAGTGTTTGACTCAAGTTAGGTCATAATAGAAGTAGTCAATATCGAGATTTAAACATAATGAGATACGGCTTTTCTCTAAAAGTGTGTTCATTGATTAGTCTCACTGATAATTTCATCAAACTTCTCTTTAATATTTAACTACTTACTTGACTTTTTGTATAGCGATTGATCGTAAATATGCGATATTTTCTTCTTCGATATTTTGAACATCGGATCGAACAGGTTCAACAAGAAAATCAACTAAGCCCATTGCTTTAGCTTTTTTTGCTTTAATTTCTCTACCAGTTAGCATGAGATCGAGTGCATCAGACAGTGAAAGATTTTCTAGAAGTCTTTGTGTACCACCAGCACCAGGTAATAATCCCAATTTAACTTCTGGCACTCCAAAGCCCGTGCGTTTATCATTCATTGCAATACGATAATGACATGCCAAAGCAAGCTAATATCGAATGTAAAACTACTGAAAGAAAAATAAGAATAGCAAATAACTAACTTCAAATCCACCACCAAGACATGATCCAGCAATAGCTGCAACGATTGGTTTTGATGATTGTTCAATTCGATTCATAATTTCTTGGCCTTGACGTGATGCTGTGAAAAGTTCATCGTGCGATTTGAGTGATTCAATCATACTGAATAAATAGATGAATGAAAATTAAAGTCCAATGAAAAACAAAAATATCATTCGTTCTAACTTAATATCAGCACCGGCAATAAATGAACCAGGTTTAGATGATATAACAACAATTCCTTGAATATTATTATCGGACTTTAGATGATCAAATACTGGAATAAACTCATTTGTCATTGCTCGCGATAAGGTATTAACCTTAATAGATGATTCACATCAATAAACTTTTATTTTAAATTAAATTTTACTTTAGAATTTTCTTGACTAATTTGCACAATCGCAATATTATCTTCATAATCAAGTTTTAAATTTTTTAATTGTTGTAAATCAACTAAATAGTTATAAATATGGAATAAAAAATCTAACAAAATAAGCAATATCTTACTCATTGTTTTTAAACCAATGCAAACAAATTCAAAGAGTAAATCTGTTAGATTCAGATATTAAATTTAATCTGAACGTGACATCGAAAACCTTTTTCTTGTCCGTAATATACCCTCGAAAATAAAATTAACCAATAAAAATAGGGATTGATATAGAGAAAAATTCAAAGTGAAGAAGAATATCAATTGTTTCTTACAGTATCTCGCTGAGTCGATAAGTAAAAGTTAACACTTATTCCACTAATCGATTTTCAGGAAAATGTACATAGGACAATACAAAATGAAAATCTTTTTCTCTCTCCCAGTAATTAATTTATTAAATCATGAAAGTCTAGAAGAAAAGAATATGCGACGAAAATTGAATATCAATGATAGTATTTTATGATGTATAAATGTGACAAGAAACTTAATAGGTCAAAGCTTCAATATCAATTTTTCTTCTTTCGTCATGGATTAAAAACATCAACATGTCAAAATTCAAATAAATTTTTTTTAAATTCGTTTCCAAATCCAACATAAAGAATACAAACTATGTAAAATTATCATTTAGAAAGATAGATATTATTAGAAAATTTATTATTTGAACTTTTTTTCCGCAATGTTTATTAAAAATATTACTCATTACACGATCAATGTCAACCTATCTCTATATGTCTAGTTGATTGCACCATCTTGTGTAAGAAAACTGTCGATTAATTGCTCTACCGGTTTGCCTGATTCTTTAGCAAGTTGAACAAGATGAAGGAGAAAACGAGCACGTTGGTTCGGTTGAAGAATTTGATCAAATTCACCAAGAAATCCCTGACGTCCTTGTTCAGCTAGAAGAAGACCTTCACGTAATTTTCTGAATAATTGTTTTATTGTTGCATTACCATTTTCTTAAGCAGATTTTTGTAAATATTCAACTATCAATTGTTTTCCAGCTTCGCGACGACTACGAACTTTCTCAGCAGCACTTTTAAATAATGCTTTGAGCTAATAAGAAACGATTGTGCCTATTTTTGTTTTTGATTGTATCAAACGCCAAACTTACTTTCTCTTCTTGTTCTCCTGCCAAATACAAACTAGCGTTAGTATTCTAGCTGGTGACTAAATTATCAATTGTATTATCAGCCATTTGTTTTTAAATAACAGAGTAAAATATTCGAAAAAAGAAGATAATGAACTTCACACAAATCTGTTTTTTGTTAAATGTCAAGATATGCTTGATAGAGATGAGTATGCAATGACTAAGATAATATTACGCAGTTTATATAGACGCACGAAAAGTTCGAAACTACCAGAACTTTTATCTATATCGATAGAAAGTACGATGTAAACCTTTCGAGAAAACTCTCCGCTATCAAGCATTTATCTTTTCGCATGATGACATCAATCAGTTAAAAATATCTCATCAAAACCGAAGATAAACATTTTCAAATAGAATATAAAAATATTTTATTATTGTCGAGTTATTAAAAAACATTGATCAAAAAAAATAAAAATCACCTTTTCATTTTAGCGTCAAGCAGATCATATAAAAGCTTTGATTCAATTCAGAATAAAGTCATGTTTATGAGACATTAAATAATTTTGAAGTCGACTTGGATAATCAGTCATTACACCGGTAACAGACATTTGTTCAAAAGCATGTTGATACTCTTGTTCATTATTTAATATCCAAACGTATACCTATAAATACAAGGCATTGCCTATTAGATTTTGATGAAAAATACAAACTTACAGGAATGCCACGTCGTTGTAAATGTACAAACATTGTTTTATTATTCAATGCACTAAATACATATAATATAGTAGAATTAAAACTACTTGAATCGAGCAACAAACCCTTGAACAATACGAAGTAATATTTTAAATTTCCAGTTTAAATTCTTTGTTGCCTTCCTGAGTACAACACGAGAAGAATAAAAATATATAGTCAAGTAAATATTCGATCATACTGAAAAACTTCGCCGGGATTAGGTATTTCAAAGGCACCTATATCAAACAAAATTAAATTATTTGGAAGAAACAAAGTCCTATTTTATTTACCAGCTTTTATCGATATAAATGGTAATAAACCAAGCCAATAAGCAATAACAATACCTGCTACTTCTTTCAATGAACAAAAACGAACAATATGTGGATTCTAAGAGACACAGCCAATCAAGATATTTTATATATAAAAACTGATATCGTACTTCAGCAGTCAACTTTCGGCAAGTACCATGGTTGAAACTACCCCAATACGTTAAACTTTCTCGTTGATATTCTTGAGTTAGTCTTGAAATCTGAAAAAACAATTTTCATTACTTTTCATTTATGATAGTCGTGTTTTTATTAGATCATTGAAAACAATTGAATATCAGACCGGCATTCCGAACTCAAGATTTGAATTGACGAACAACATTGATATGTCACACAACTTTTTCTTCATGCTTTTCGACAGAAAGACTCATTGGTCAACAAGCAATACTCATTTTTTTGTAGATCTCTCAACATTTTCGATGATCAATAAGAACTATTTTTGACGATAGGATAAATTCAACATGCCAGTCTGCATATTTATACGAATTTGTTACAAGTGATGCAGTGTTTTGTTTTCTATCAAAGTTAAACTTTCGAAATCATAATCAAATCAAATAGTATTTATTCTCCCATGTGGAAATTCAATGATGTATTATGAACTAGATTCCGCGAAAGAACGTTTCCGTCTCTAGTCGTTTAATTAAAAAAATATTAAATAGAAAAATTTTCACCCATTTTGAAATTTTCATTATAACCTGTAGTATAGTTTCGAAATATCTTTCCAATAAAATACTAATTACCTGTTGAATAAGTTCATCGTTATTTGCTTTAACATCGATATTAATTGGTATTGTTGGATAACGTGCAAAAACATCTTTTAATAATGGTATACGCAACAATGCTTCACTCTCCGGATTCTTATCACAGGAAATAATTGTGCCTATCAAAAAACAAAATCACTCATCTTTTCACCATATACGTATGATTTTCTTACTTGAATCATAATAAAGTTCTATATTATTATTAATACTTGGTAGATCCTAGAGAATTATATTTGTTTTTTTCTGATGCATTATTATTCATGTTAACTTACATCGTAGTCAATATCTCGAATAAACCGATCGTCACCTGTAGTTCTCTCTATGGAAAAATCATGATGAACAACAACTTGATTATCTTTGGTTAAATGGCAATCTAACTCAAGCATTTCCACCCCATTTTTCAGCCCTCTATAGTAGAGAAAAAATAAATATTAAAATTATGTCCGTCAATCATACGTATCAAATGCATGTAGAGAATTTTCAATAGATTCAGCAGCACCTAAGCAAAATAGAAACAATTAAATGACAGTATAAAATACTAGTATTTGCTCACCTCCTCTATGAGCTATATTTCGAGCGATAAATACAGGTCGACGTCGTTTATGAAGATAAGTTGGCTTACGAAGTAAAATAAATGATAATGCAATATATATAATGAAAATCGTTAATAGAACGATGTAAACAATCATGAACAAGGATAAATCTCAAATACTCTTTTTGCTGATTACGTACAGCGTCTAAACTCATATAAAAAGTATGACTCATTAATCAATACAATTGGCTTACTTAAATTAACGACATCTATTGTGCATCTCCCTGTGGAATCACAAAACTATTGATTTCCCTCTAAATAAAAAGTTCTTCATACATTTATTAATTAGTTAAATTTGAAATCCAATAAAAATTCCGTTTATTATTGTCATGGTGTCAACTGAATTTCAACAAGTCGAAAACACTTGATTATTAAAATCAGAAGAAAAAAAACTCACAGAATGTCGTCAGATGTAATGAATATTCCAACTGGTACTTCAAATAGTGATGAGCTTAGTGAACCTCCTTCCGGCAACGAGAATGAATTACGTGAATTAGTGTATCAAGCTCTCGAACGAGAAGGTTTAATTAATCGTTTAAAAGCACAATTACGTGTTTCTGTATTTAAAACAATCGAAAAAGCAGCTAATCCTAATGGTATTGATACGCGTTCACCTTTAGATGATGGCATGACAGGAAGTATTTGTCGTGCACTAGTATTTGATTGGCTTGAACATTCTCAGTTATTGTATACACAAGATATTTTCAAAGTTGAAACTTCTGGTCCTAAGTATCCAACACCATTAACGCATACAGAATTACTTGAGCAGCTTCATATTAATTTAAATCAAACGAAAGCGCAACCAATTTTACATTTATTACTTGACCAAAGTACAAAACAAGTAAGTGAATGAATATATTTTTTAGTGTGCTGTCTGTAAGTAATATGTTTTAGTCTCCGTCTACAACTAATTCTTTGCCTGATTTTATTAAACAATCAATTGACAATCAATTTCCAAATGAAAAAATCAATGATCTACAACGTATACGTGATCATTTTCGTTCATTATTTTCATCAGCATTTGATTCAAGTGTACTAGATGCATTTATTAATAAAAATATTCCTTCAACATCAGCATCTCTTGCTAAACATGATTATGAACAGACATGTCTCAAATGGATACAAGCATGTACTAATGCATTAATACCATCATCATCTCCTATTCAACCAGTTACATCATTGTAAGTTGTCATGTTCTATTGAATTTAGTCGTATAATTAAAATTCATCTTGGCCAACTTTTCTTCATCTTATAATATTTTTTCTTTGAAAGAAGCGAATAGATGACATAGATTTACTTTTGTTCATATCTTTCAATTTTTACAAGGAAACTCTACAAATGAGTGTCTTGTATGAGATCAGCCAGATGTACAGAAGAACTCGAATAATATACAATTGAAGATTACGTATAGGTGCAGTTTTAAGCATTACATTTGAAATTGTTTCTTTTGTATGATTTAGATATTTTATTATAACAACAGATAGTTGAGATTTCTATCGAGTGTAGTCAGTGGGGGGGGGGGGGGGGGGGGGGGGGGGGGGGGGGGGGGGGGGGGGGGGGGGGG